CAAAGGCGGCCTCCTATATGCAGGGACACACAGGGGAACCTGATAGACACACACTAATGAAACCTTTATTAACATTTCTTGACAAAGCCAGTTGCCCTGATTGGAAGACATGGGCAGAGGTTGGAGCTATAACGGGAATAACTGAGTTTTGTTAAAGGATACTACAGATTTCTAATATGCTTAAAGGTCAGGCAGATTAAAGAGTGACACAAGACTGTCATCCTGAAGTCCCAAAAGCACAGTTTCATGACTTTTTATTCTCCAGAGATATTTTACAATCTCTTCTCCTGTCACCTGTCCCTAAAGATGAACTAACAATGGCATATAGCTGCAGTCTAGACAGTCAAACCAACCAACCGACAACCAACTCTCTTTACTGCTGGGCTGGTCGAGTTATTTCTATTTGTGCTCCAAATCCATCTGCAACATATCCAATCTAATACATGACACAAACATTTCAAAGTTTACAGAGAGCCAGCTCAGGGTTGGTCAGTCAAGGGAGTTTATCTGCCCTCCTTTGTAACAGCGATTAATTGAAGACAGATTACATCCCCAACACTATAACGGCTGTTGTCCATTAGCCTAATGATGCTCCTCAATTCAGTCTCTAGTGTCAATTATCTTGACATAATCTGCTCTTGATGTATTTGCACACAAATTGATCATTTATCTTGACACTCCACTGTAATTAAGAAGGACTGTGTGTGTGTTATGAAAGGAAGATAAGTTGTGGACAAATTTTGAAAGGATCACCCTTGAATTTCCCTTCGGGGATTAATAAAGTTCCTCTTCTTCTTCTTCTTCTTCTTCTTCTTCTTCTTCTTCTTCTTTTCACCACTTTGACTGCAGATATGCTTGTCAGTTACTAATCTGAAGACGGATATTCTCTTTTGTTTTTCCACTACACAATGTTTTCATGCTGTGTTTTGAAAAAGAAAATCTGTCTTTACATCTTTTAAAAGTAATTTGCAGTTTGTATTTAGATATGATTGTAGAATAGTGGTAATAATGGCATAAAGCTAATAGTTGGTCATCCGGCTAGTTGTCTTATTCATGGTTATTATTGCCTCCTCGGGTTTCAAGGAATCTTGGCATTTTGAAAAATAACTTAATTTGCTTTCTCTCCTGGTGCTACATAAAAGGTTGATACCACTCATGTCTGATTGACTAAAGCAGTTACCAGGCAACCAGCTGCGCCTGAAAAGTATACTGCTCCAATGCCAAACAGGAAGCCCACTACACGACCTGAGTTATGCCTCAAGTATTCATTTCTACATTTTGGAGTCATGTATGGATTGTGAAAGTGATTTAAAATTCTCATGAGTGAGCTTCATAGGTGCTGGAGGAAGTTCTTACTGTGAAACACAATAACAGCTAACTATCTGCTTGCTGCAGCTCCATATTTATTATATGGGATAGTGGACTTCTGGTGAAGACTGGTCCCTCTGTATTTCCCTTGTTTGCATCTTGTTAAACCAGGATGTACCCGGTATTAGCTGCACTTGTAACCAGTTATTAACAGACATAATTCAAAGGAGACCCATTACTATATTTTCATTTTCAACTTTTATTATGTTGGTCTGGGACACCCATATGGGATCTTATAATAACTTAAGCTCAAAAATGTATTGTTTATCATATACTCACATCAAATGAGATCCCTTATTTAGCCATGTTAGTGTGTTGTATTAGCTATTGTTTTATTTGTTTTATTACTCTGTGTGATAATATTAGTTTGAGGAGCTAAGCCTCAATGGAGGTGCTGTGCAGATGGAACAGCTGCAGGTTTTAGAAAAACATGACATACAAGTCCAACTCGTCCTGGCCTTTGTTTATGACAGAGTCATCATTCAAGTGGTAAACACAAACAGCATCCTCCCAGCATTTTCTGATGTCTTTGTTTGGAACGGAAAAAAATAAAAATAGCTGTGATTTTCCTTCACAATCAACAGAACACTAACAAGGATGCTCAGAGACATACTGAATCAACAAAGTGCAGAGTGGAGGACAAAGAACACTTTCCAGCTTCCAGGTGGACGTGCCTCTGATAGAGCTGCACAGTGGAATTGTCCTAATACTTATAGTACTGTACAAATAGGATGGTAGAGCCGGTGGGCATGTCTGGAAACTTGAAAGACACATCCAGGGATACACTTGCTATCCAGCAAGACATCCAACAAGTATTGAAATATAGATCAGTATAACAGGTCTACTTTAAAACAAATTTACCATCAGATGGGTTCAAAGCATCAAGATTTTAGCTTCTCCACATTGCAGGGCTTCTAATGCATCCATCTTCATCCTGCTGCACTGCACGTGCTGAGGATTTCAGATCGCATTTAGAAAATGAGGATGACCAGCTAACGGCTTGGAAAATCTGCTGAAATGTTGCAGCAGGAGGTGAGTAGTAAAAATTGGAAGTTTTGACACACTTAAACACTCACACACTCTCTTTCCAACAGTTTTCATCTCTCTCCTTCCCGCTCTCTGCAGGTTGCTCATTAAGTGTGCCAAGGGGAGCTGGTTTGTGAACCTGCCTGGTGCTGCAGAATGAGAATGAGGAAAGATGGGACAGCCATTGCCAGAGGAATGCTCTACAGCCGGTGGAGCAGATGACTGTGCTATTATTGTCTCTCTGTCACACATAACTTTTTAGTTGTATCCTCCAGGGTCTGTGGCAACTGTCCTTTAAGTAGTTCCTCCACAGAAAAGTTAGGAACAGGTCGCTGGTGTAGTATCTTAATAGTTTTTACTGACTAGAGAGAGAAAGGTGGGTTTGAAGGTGTTTTCTTACATGTGCTTGTTGTGTCTCTTGCAGACTATAAACCACAACGTAGAGCTACAAAATTATTGTAGCCATTTTAATGATAAAAAGTAGAGAGCTGATTTTTTCTTCTCTTGCCTGATTTTCTTTTGCTTTGATTTTATGTTTGTAATACCTTATCAGACTGGAATAAAGGACCACCCCCAAAATTAAAGACAGGTGTTTTCAAGAGACTAAATAAAAATAATCATATGTGTAATTGGAGCACCCACTTATTAGTAAACAGAATGAGTACAGATCTACTGATACTAAAATAGACTGAACAGGAATGAACTATTTAAAGTAGCTCTAGCTTTTCTATTCTTCTGAGCAGGTGGAGACATCTTGTTCTTGACTGGAGCTCTATTGGTCAGCTGATCACAGATACAGCCTCTGATTGGTCGACAAAACCAAAGACATCAGCCTCTTTCTATTACAGAAGTGACATTATTTCACGAACATTTGTTCGTAAATTCTCACAGATTGTCTTTATTTTTGAAGAACTGGGTCCAAACAGTCATTTAAATACACTAATATTCACTTTAACATAGAAAAATTCCTCCATGTCACAGGAACACAGTTAGTCTCCTGAAAGCTACTGGTTTCACAAAGTAACTACATTTACTGCACGTCACGATGTCTTACCATTTTATTCTACAAGCTGATACTGTAAAGACAACTTTTATAGTACAGGGCAGCATGACGGCATTTATTTATACCTAAAAGACAATCCCACTTTTTCACATGTAATGCTAGAAGGATTTTATTCAGGTCACTCTGATAGCTCATTAAATGTCTCATTGGTGGTTGAGAAAAACCTCCAGGCCATTTGAATTGAACATATTAAGTTCCCTTATAGTTTTTGGACAAAACTATTAGGGCTCTATTTTCGTGTCTGCCGGCGACGCAGTGGAGGGTGGTATTCGAACCCCACGCAGTGGTATTCTCATTTGGCGGAGCCCGGCGTACAACCAGTTTAGTATTTTCGTGGACTGAGGTCCGCCAAGCTGGGCGTGGTGGCGCGGCAGGGGGAGGTGTCGACAGGATCAGCGGGCGCAGTGCCATTTTCATGTTCGCTGATGGCGTAGAAAGTGCGCTGAAAGCTCGCCAATTCAAACCTGGTCAGCTTTCAGCGCAGGCGGAGCGCAGCTGGTCTAGTGGTACTTTGATAGACCGGCGGCGTATCGGCATACGTCACTGATGCCTCACCAGCAGGTTTCCACCGTGTCAGGCACTTTTCAGTGCAATGAATAATCAACAACAACTAATAATCTGAGTCAGCACATACATTTAGATCTATATAGATATATTCTGATCTAGATCTGATCTGATGAGCGTGTTTGGCACGCGTTTGGACACACAACCTGACCGAATTAACACAGTTGAAACCGCATTAAATTAAATTAAATATCTAGTTAATAAACACACATGATGAAGTTAACAAGATATTTAATTTGTCTCCCTCCTTTTCTTTCTTCCCCTTCCTCTTCTTTCTCGTGCAGCTCGACCTGGACATGTCTCTGTGTCCTCTCCCCGTCCTGCTGCAGCTGCAGCTGCAGCGGCTGATCAGATGATTTGTTTCAGTGATCAGATGAGTTATTTACTTTAAGCCTACATACTGTATGAATCTTATAATATTCAGTTTTGTGAACCAAATTTATTTTATATTCCAACATCTATGACAGAAAAAGCCAGGCCAGGAGCGCGATGCGTCATTTACGCACAGATGGTTCCGATTTTAATGCCAATTTATGTTGTGATCTGTGCGCTCAACCCACCTTTGTCATGTGAGGTTTAAATATGTGCAACTTTATGTGATTGTCTTTATTTGTGGAAAAGGGTGTTTGTCTTACCAGTGGGTCCAACATTAATAATAATTATAATAATAATAATAATAATAATAATACATTTTATTTGTAAAGCGCTTTTCAAAAACACAAAGACGCTGTACAGAGTTAAACCATATCAGTAAAACACACATCAATAAGCAATAAAATTTACGACAATATCAATAAAAACATGTAGAATCAGGTAAAATCCAAATAACAATAAAACACACATCAATAAGCAATAAAATTTACGACAATATCAATAAAAACATGTAGAATCAGGTAAAATCCAATGGGGGGGCTAAGGAGGATGAAAGGCAGTGCGGAAGAGGTGGGTTTTGAGAAGGGTTTTGAATCTGGTGAGGTCATTGCAGTTTCTGAGTTCGAGTGGGAGTGAGTTCCAGAGGGTGGGGGCGGCGACTGAGAAGGCTCTGTCCCCCCAGGTTCGGTGCTTGGTCAGGGGAACTGTGAGGAGGTTGGCATTGGCGGAGCGGAGGGTGCGGGAGGGGATGTAGGGGTGGAGAAGATTTTTGTTTGAGAGATTTTGTACTGAATGCGATGGGGGATGGGGAGCCAGTGAAGGTTTTGGAGGACGGGGGTGATGTGTTGGTGGGAGCGTGTGTGGGTGAGGAGGCGGGCGGCAGAGTTCTGGATAATCTGAAGTTTATTGAGGAGAGTGGAGGTGGTGCCATAGAGGAGACTGTTACAGTAATCTAGACGAGATGAAATGAATGCAAGTATAAGGGTTTCAGCTGCAGGGTAGGAGAGGGAGGGGTGGAGGCGGGCGATGTTTTTGAGGTGGAAGTAGGCTGTTTTAGTGATTTGTTTAATGTGGTGGGTGAAGGAGAGGTTGCTGTCGAAGAGAATGCCAAGGTTGCGACAGTGGGAGGAGGGGGAGAGGGTGGAGTTGTCGATGGAGAGATGAAAGTCTGTGACTGTGGAGGTGAGGGAGTTTGGGCCGATGATGAGGAGATCTGTTTTGTCATAGTTGAGCTTGAGAAGATTGCTGTCCATCCAGTGTTTGATGTCAGAGAGGCAGTTTGAGAGGGAGCGTTGGGTCTGGGGGGTGATGGAGTTGGAAAAGATATATAATTGAATGTCATCAGCGTAGCAGTGGAAGTGGAGGTTGTGTTGACGGAGGATGTGGCCAAGAGGGAGGAGGTAGATGATGAAGAGGAGGGGACCAAGCACCGAGCCCTGGGGGACACCTTGGGACACGGGGGCGGTTGTGGAGGAGCAGTTGTTAATATGGATGAAGTGAACCACACCAAAACCCTCTGTGATTGTATGAGAGAGTGTGAAGGACGCCCTCCGCAGCGCTTACAGTGATACTTGTTGAGGAGCTGCCTTCTGTCGCTATCGTGTGGTATTGCTGTCTTCAGACATCTCTTGATCTCTTTGACTACTTCATGAAAATTGTAATAAGCCTTGCCGGTGGCGGATTTAAAGGCAAGGAGAGGAGCTTAAATGATTGGTGAAAACAGGTCTCGGCTGTGTTAAACCCACTCCACGCCCTCTCTTCTCCCTCCCTACGACTTACGCCGCTGGGAGGAGCTGAGTTAGGGAGGGGGAACACTTAGGCCAGGCTGTGCCTCTCACCAAAATACTGCCTTGTCAGTGCGGTGAACCTGACTTATGCTGCGCCTGCGCCACGTCACCGGTGAAGCGCGAAAATAGAGCCCTTAGTCATTAATATTTCATTTAAAGGTCTCATGAGGTGTTTAATGGCTTTCATAAAACAGACTAAAACTCTTATTGATGACTTTTTATATATCCAAAAGCAAACAAGACTGTCCAGGCCAAGACTGACAAAATGTGTATCCTCACTTTCAGTGCTTGAAATGAGTATGAGGGGGTGATAGAGCCCTGTCTTTACTATTTTCTCACAAAATACTCACAACCAATGACACATCTGACTGTCAAAAGAGATGTTTGTCAGAGGACACCATGTATGCATGCTGGGGACCCGATACGCAAAGACCGCACCAACATTGACACAAACAAGCTTTAAATAATGTCTTTACACAGAAAAATCACACCATGTTTGCTTGGAGTCAAATTTATTTATCATTCATTGTAAATATCTCTTTGCAAAAATAAAAAGAACTGTGTTCTTAGCTGTGTAGCAATCAAGACAACCCTGGGTGTGAAACCCACACATTCCTCACAGGAAAAGTTTCCTTATCTGGTCCCAGGACACAGGATATAAATCTTTCCAGACTTGTTTACACTTTCAGGTGCCTAAGTGACCCAACCGGAGGTTGACTAAACCTCTGACTCTTCACGATTGGTCGATTTGGAGAACAGAGACAGAGTTTTTATTACCTTTCAAACTGACTCCATCGCTGACCATCTAAATAAACATTAACCTCAACCCAGATCTCCCATTTGAGATTTAGCGTCTTAAAGTGTGTGAACATACGGACCCCAGGAAAAGGGGGGACACTGACCTCCAGACCTCGGTCGTAAAACCCTGCTCGACCATACACTGATAAAGACTGCATTCCTTTGGTGAAAGAATACAAATGACTGATCCTGACATCTTATGCATTCAGCAATGTACTAATCTGTCTAATCATGAAATTTGTGTTAAAATGAGATGTTTCCCGTTTTTCTATGTGCTCCAGAAGCGGAGTTACAGAATAAATCCTTTATTCTTTAGTTTCTTTAGACCAACAGCTTTTCAGACTGTTTCATGAACTTTTAAGAGTTAAATTCATCGACTATGAATCATAACTTAACTCTAGGTAACAGAAACAGTTTAGAAATGTTTGGTTTATATTGTAGTTGTTTATTTAGTATTTTTAACCATTAGGTGGTTATAATGTCATTGAATAATCTGAATGTGAGTATTGAGAATCCATTATTAATCATGATGAAGTTCATTCACGTGTTTACTCTTTTGTTGTTCACAGTTTCTATGTGTTACTATCTGTTTCATTTCAGAGTAATTTAGCATGTTCAATGTGATACTTAAAACATAATGAGAATGTTTGATGTGATCCTGCACTTCATTCATATGTGTTTAGTATCAAATTATTTATCATGAAACCAAGCATTCAATGATATTAATCATAGTGAGTGAGTATCAGATCTGACTCTTTTACCAGCCAAAAGAATAAGTTACATCAAATAATCAGAGATTCCACGACCCCTCCTTTCTCCTCACACACACACCCCGGAAACACTCCCAGTGTGAGAAGATAAAACCAGTGAAGTGGGGTTGCTCACTCTCTTCTGCTGACTCTCTTGTCCCCGGCTCTTATGCCCCTTCTCTTCTGCCCACACCCTTCTGTGGTGCGTTTCTTTATTTTCTCTTAGAACTTTTTCTTAGTCTTCCAAGTTTTACGCCACGTGTTGATTCACGTTGATTTTTCTTTAACATCGTCTTAGTTCAAGTTTTGAAACTTCAACTTTTTGTGGACATAGCAATTCAAGATTAAGCCTTTGATTGATTTTTCTTTAATTTCGCGAAGCCATTTTTGAAAGTTTTCTCTGCTCGAGTCTCGTTTTTCTGAGTTATCTGCGTGATTTTCAAAGTCACCTCTGAACGCAACCCAGCAGGCCCAGGTCATCCTCTGTGCCAGAGTTTTTGAGTGAGACCAAAGAAGTACCCAAACGAGCATCCACAGGATCCACAGGCGCTGGCTTTGCTTCGGGCCCGAGTGCTGCAACTCCTGGCTCATCCTTCGGCTGACTTCAGTCGTCCTCTGAGCTGAACCGCTCGAACCGCCAGTAGCCCCGGACCTTCGGAACCTGCTCCATCTTCTCCAAGGACCAGTCTCACTTAAGTATGCAAACCTCCAGAGCTCCAAAGAGGGCTGGTGCTGTCTCCTGCGTTCATAGCTCAGATATCCTCTTATTCTGGTAATCTTAGATTCCTCCAAATCCACATCCGAGTTTATCTCGACACCAAAGTTAGTGTAGGTTAATATGTTAGCGCATATTCACTCACTATCATTAACTTTAGTGCTCCTAGCCTGACTCAGAATCTTTATTTATTCACCTATTATTATTTTATCCTCATTATCTTATCATCATTCATTGCGTGTATGTTGTACCATCATTTATCCTGTAATAAACAGATCATTATTTTTCTAAGTTCCTGTCTGTTAGTGTTCTTCCAGAAGTGGAGTCCCTGAAATTAGAATTTCGACTTAAGATATGAGACTGATTAATTAAAACTGACTTGATGTTTGATTTCTGAATTGAACTTTTGTTTTCTTTATTTTCCCACCATAAAGGGTGGTTGGTGCTCCTTTCAACGAGTGCATAAATGTCATAATTTGAGATTATTAATCTTCAGACATTTATTATAAATTCCAATCGCTACAGTATTATTGTGGTGCGGCCTTGTGAGGCTCATTTCAAATCGCTACATATATTTTGGTGTGACCGTGTGAGGCTCATTTAAATCACTACAGCTGCTTGGCTAACACCCACCCTCCAACACTGGTTTCAGGCATTGAAAAATTACAGCATAAAAATTGCCAGCCTTGTTGCTGATCGACAAGTTTACTTTTATAGATCATAAAAAGGCATAAATATTCATTTCAGTCTGTTTCATCGACATTAAAAAAAACTCCTCGCAGAAGCTTTAAAGTTATCATTCTTTGAGTTTAAAACATCAGGTTGCGCCCCAGAATGGCTGCAACGATGAGAGCTCCGCTCTGACTCGGTCGGTCTTTCCTTTCTACTCTGTTTGTTTCTTTACTTTTCTCTATGCACGGCTACGGTACGCCTGCGACACACTCCTGACGCTGTGGTCAGTCGCTGGGAATAACTTTACATCCACTTTTGAGGACTGCGTGGCAGACATTCTCCCTCAGGTCCTCTTTTCTATCACAGGCCGGCGGAGGAAAACACAGCGAGGGAAACCTGCCGGTATCCTATGTTGGACTAGAAACAGACAAAACAAGCCTCCTCTGCCCACTATCCTGTTGGCTAACATCCAGTCCTTGAGGAATAAACTGGATGATCTGTGTGCAGGGATCAATCACGAACCATACATGAGGAACTGTTGTGTCCTTGCATTTGCAGAGACGTGGCTTGACTGTGCGGTGACTCTGGACAACAATACCATCTACGGGCATGACAGAACAAAGAACTCAGGCAAGTCTTGTGGAGGGGAAGTGTCTTTTATGGTGAACAATTTGGGGCAACGGATGCACGGATTTTAAGAACATACTGCACACCAGTCCTAGCACTGCTCACTATCAAAGTGTGCCCCTTTTACCTGCCCAGAAAATTAAGCACTGTGATCCTTACTGCAGTCTGCATCCTGCCCCAGGTTTCTATGACCCAGGCCCTGGGCGAGTTGTATGGAATTATTACGGACTAGAAAACTCACATCTGGACTCTGCCTTCATTGTTGTTAGGGACTTTCACAGAGCCAACATGAAAGCAGTTCTGCTCAAATACTATCAACATATTTCTGCCCCCAACAGGGGAGAGCATATGCTCGAGCACTGTTACACCCCATTCAAGAACTGTTACAAACCCCTCCTCCACCCTGCCTTTGACAAAGCAGACCACAGTGCCATTCTACTGTTGCCTGCATACAAACAAAGGCTCAAACAGGAAAAAACTGTTTCCAAGGTCATTTACAAATGGGACAATGTAGCTGATGAGGCCCTACAGGACTGTTTTGAAACCCCTGACTGGCAGATGTTTGAAGACTCAGCGGGAGGAGACATCAATGAGTATACAGACTTTGTCATAGGCTACATAGGGAAGTGCATTGAGGATGTTGTGCCAAAAACCTCCATCTGCACTTACCCCAACCAGAAACCATGGGTCGGGCCTAAGGTTCATGCTGCACTTAAAGCATGCACTGCTGCCTTCAACTCTGATGACACAGAGGCCTACGAAACAGCCAGGTACCAAATCAAAAGAACTCTTAAAAGATCACGGAGGGAGTACAGTGAGCGAGTTGAGTCTGCCCAGCAGAGCAATGACCTAAGGTGCATGTGGCACAGTCTGAACTGTATGGCAGACAACAGGGGGAGAAGGAAAAGGCCAGTGCAGTTTGTCACGACCAGGCTCTTCAGCCGCGACCAAACCAACGGAAGATGCACTAGTTGACGTAAATGTAAGGAATTTATTTAGAAAATAGCACAACAGCAACTTAGGAGGTGAACACAAACAAACCATGGGGTGTGAGGATCAGTAGATCAGCTGTGTAGGTGCGTGCATGCATGCATGAATACGGGGTGAAATGTGTGGTAGGGTGTTGGATGCGTAAAACACAAAGACGAAGCCATCCACCCGGAGGGAAGGAGAGAGAGAACCGGTGGAGAAGGCGGGGTATTTATAGATTGGGAGACACCGGGCCCAGGTGCTGCCAACCTCACTAAACGATCGGACCACCCCCTGGTAACCTCCTGCTTGACAGAGGGAAAACAAAACATTAGACACCAGGGAACCGTCACACCCACCCCCACAAGAACGGGGTCCTGAAGGGAATCCCGGGGTTAAACAAACCTAAGTAAACAGACTAACATAAACACAATAACCCACAGCAACACCATATCAGTGCATCCGTATCCTGTCAACTTTTTTTTGTTTTTTATCATTTAAAGTACTAGTCTAAAAAAACCCAAACCCAACATAAATTACATTTTTACAGGCACCGTGAGCACAGTGAAACACTACAAGTCCAGGAACCAGACTGTTTCGTCGGTCCAACATCCCTTACCCCAAATCCCCACTACGAGCTAGTGACGTCACCCACGACATCACTTTCCATTCACAAAAAACCAGGCCCACTAATGCTACTACTACTTAGCTTACCATTCAATGCGAAACGGACCAAATCGAGACGGACAAGCCCCCACTTTTGTCACGACCAGGCTCTTCAGCCGCGACAAAAACAACGGAAGATGCACTAGTTGACGTAAACGTAAGGAATTTATTAAGAAAATAGCACAACAGCAACTTAGGAGGTGAACACAAACAAACCATGGGGTGTGAGGATCAGTAGATCAGCTGTGTAGGTGCGTGCATGCATGCGTGAATACGGGGTGAAATGTGTGGTAGGGTGTTGGATGCGTAAAACACAAAGACGAAGCCATCCGCCCGGAGGGAAGGAGAGAGAGAGAACCTGTGGAGAAGGCAGGGTATTTATAGATTGGGAGACACCGGGCCCAGGTGCTGCCAACCTCACTAAACGATCGGACCGCCCCCTGGTAACCTCCTGCTTGACAGAGGGAAAACAAAACATTAGACACCAGGGAACCGTCACAAGTTGTCCAGTGCATCATTCCCGGGTGAGCTCAACAACTTATATGCACGGTTCGATGCAGACAACACCGCACCAGTCTACAGACTGGTGGACAGAGAGGACACCACACTGAGCATAGACACAGCTACAGTGAGAAGGGCATTTATAAGGGTAAATCCCTGCAAGGCGCCAGGGCCCAATGGGATCCCAGGGCAGGTGCTGAGAGTCTGCGCTGACCAACTTACTGCAGTGTTCACCAACATCCTCAACCTGTCCCTGAACCAGTCTATTGTGCCCACCACCCTAAATATCTCCACTGTTGTTCCCATCCCTAAGACCCCTACAGTGTCCTGCCTTAATGACTTCCGGCCCATTGCTCTTATGTCTGTCATCATGAAGTGCTTTGAGTGGATCATTAAGCACCACGGGCTCTATTTTCGTGCCTCGCCGGCGACGCTGCGCATGCGCATCGTAAGTCAGGTCCGCCGCGCCAACAAGGCGTTCCCAAGCACAATTAGGTATTTTGGTGAGCGGCGCAGCCCGGCGTAAGTATCCCCCCTCCCTAACTCAGCTCCTCCCAGCGGCGTAAGTCGTAGCGAGGGAGGAGAGAGGGCGTGGAGTGGGTTTAACACAGCCGAGACCTGTTTTCACCAGTCACATAAGCTCCTCTCCTTGCATTTAAATCCGCCACCGGCGAGGCGTATTACAATTTTCATGAAGTAGTCAAAGAGATCAAGAGATGTCTGAAGACATAAATGCCACACGATGGCGACAGAAGGCAGCTCCTCAACGAGTGTCACTGTAAGCGCTGCACTGGGCATCCTCCACACTCTCTCATATAAGCACAGATGGATTTGGTGTGTGTAATGTTGGACCCACTGGTAAGACAAACACCCTTTTCCACAAATAAAGACATTCACATAAAGTTGCACATATTAAAACCTCACGTGACAAAGGTGGGTTGTGCACAGAGATCACATCATGAATTCCAAAAATGGCATTAAAGTCGGAACCATCTGTGCGTAAATGACACATTGCGCTCCGTGGCCTGACTCTTTCTTTCATAGATGTTGGCATATAAAATAAATTTGGCTCACAAAACTGAATATTATAATATTCGTATATAGGCTTAAAGTAAATAACTCATCTGAGCACTGAAACAAATCATCTGTTCAGCCGCTGCAGGACGGAGAGAGGACACGGAGACATGTCCAGGTCGAACTGCGTGAGAAATAAGAGGAAGAAAGAAAAGGAGGGAGACGAATCACATATCTTGTTAACTTGTTAACTCTAATTTAATGCGGTTTCAGCTGTGTAGATTCGGTCAGGTTGTGTGTCCAAACGCGTGCCAAACGCGCTCATCAGATCAGATCTAGATCAGAATATATCTATATAGATCTAAATGTATGTGCTAACTCAAATTAAGAGTTTTTGATGATGATTGTTTACAATGAGATGTGCCTGACACTGTGGAAACCTGACGGTGAGGCATCGGTGACGTATGCCGACACGCCGCCAGTCTACCAAAATACCTCTAGACCAGCTGCGCTCCGCCTGTGCTGAAAGCTGACCAGGTTTGAATCGGCATACTCTCGGTTCGCCTCCGTGCGCCTCAGTCCACGAAAATACCAAACTGGCTGTACACCGGGCTCCGCCAGACGAAAATACAACTGCGCGGGGTCCGCCACCCTCTGTCGCCTCACCGGCGTACACAAAAATAGAGCCCCACATCTGCACCTCCCTCTCCAACACCCTGGACCCCTGCAGTTTGCAAACAGAGCAAACACGTCTACAGATGACGCCATTGCTCTAGTTGTTCAAACATCCCTCAGCCACCTGGAGAAGGTGAACACCTATGTGAGGACGCTATCTATTGCCTACAGCTCAGCATTCAACACCATAATCCCCTCAAAACTCTACACAAAGCTCATTGCCCTGGGCCTGCAGAAGTCCATCTGCTGCTGGATACTGGATTTCCTCACCAACAGACCACTAGCGGGGAAGTTTGGCAGTCAACTCTCCTCCACACTAGTCTTCAGCACCAGGGCTCCTCAGGGCTGTGTCCTGAGTCCACTCCTCTACTCCCTCTTCACGCATGACTGCACTACCAGGCACAGCTCAAATGTGATCTTCAAGTTTGCTGATGACACTACCATCTTGGGCCTCATCACCAACAACGATGAGAGCACCTACAGGGACGAGGTGAAATTTCTGACCAGCTGGTGTCAGGAGAATAATCTCTCTCTAAATGTCAGTAAGACCAAGGAAATGATAGTAGACTTCAGGAGACAGCGCAAGGACCAGCACTGCCCTATACATATCAATGGCACCAGTGTGGAGCAGGTCAGCAGCTTTGAGCTCCTCTGCATCCACATTACTGAGGATCTGTCCTGGACTTTACATTCGGACACCCTGGTTAAGAAAGCCCGACGCAGGCTCTATTTCCTGAGAATGCAGAGGAAGTCTGAAACAAACTCTAAAATCCTCGCAGATTTCTACAGGTGCACCATTGAGAGCCTGCTGATGGGCTTCATCACAGCGTGGTATGGGAACTGTACCAGTCAGAGCTGGAAAGCACTGCAGAGGGTAGTGCACACAGCTGAGTTCCTCACTGGCAGCAGGCTCCCCACCATACAGGACATGTACCTCAGCTGATGCCTGCGTAAAGCCCGCGACATTATCAAAGACAAAACCCACCCAGCACAAAGACTCTTCTGTCTACTACCATCTGGCAGAAGGTAGAGGAGTCTGCCAGCACACACAAAAAGACTGAGGAACAGTTACTACCCACATGCAGTTTGCTTACTCAAGTCCTGACAGTACCACTGGACAATACTTTGTGCAATAACCCACTTAACTGTGCGATATAATCTGTGATGTGAAATACCATGTGCAATACAGCATCCGTACACCATTATTAATCATGTGCAATATAGCAATTTTCATACCTCATTTATCCTACCGAATTATCCCGTATCTTATACATTAACACTCAGCCCCTACGGCATCACTCGTTCACTTTGTAAATCTCTCCTTTTTCACTTGTACTTCTCTAGTTTCTCGTGTTCCTTCTTTCTGATGTTGGTATCGCTTGGGATGGCGACATCTACCACAACGGTTTTACTCTGCTGTTTGTCTATGATTACAATGTCCGGTTGGTTGGCCATTACCATTTTGTCGGTTTGTATCTGGAAGTCCCACAGGATCTTGGCTAGGTCATTCTCCATCACCTTGGGAGGTGTTTCCCATTTGGACCTCAAGGTTTCCAGTCCATATTTTGCACAGATGTTCCTGTACACTGTACCGGCTACTTGGTTATGGCGTTCCATGTATGCTTTTCCTGCCAGCATCTTACACCCTGCTGTTAGGTGTTGGACTGTTTCAGGGCCCTCTTTGCACAGCCTGCGCCTGGGATCTTGCCTGGTATGGCAGATCTGGGCCTCTATTGCTCTGGTGCTCAAGGCCTGTTCTTGTGCCACCATGATGAGTGCCTCTGTGCTGTCCTTCAGTCCAGCCATTGGTAGGATTTGCTCATATCAGCCACTTTAGTTATATGTCGGTGGTACATCCCATGCAGGGGTTTTTCCTCCCATGATGGTTCCTCTGGTTCCTCCTTACCTGTCATTTTCCATTGTCTGAGACACTCACTAAGTGCTCCATCTCTGTGGGCCATCTTCCTGACATAGTCATGGAGCTTGGATGTTTCATCTTTGATAGTGACTCTGATGCTTACCAATCCTCTGCCTCCTTCTTTGCGCTTAGTGTATAGCCTCTGGATACTGGACTTAGGGTGGAGCCCCCCGTGCATGGTGAGCAACTTCCGAGTATACATATATATATATATATATATATATATATACATACACTCACCGGCCACTTTATTAGGTACACCTGTCCAACTGCTCGTTAACACTTAATTTCTAATCAGCCAATCACATGGCGGCAACTTAGTGCATTTAGGCATGTAGACATGGTCAAGACAATCTCCTGCAGTTCAAACCGAGCATCAGTATGGGAAAGAAAGGTGATTTGAGTGACTTTGAACGTGGCATGGTTGTTGGTGCCAGAAGGGCTGGTCTGAGTATTTCAGAAACTGCTGATCTACTGGGATTTTCACGCACAACCATCTCTAGGGTTTACAGAGAATGGTCCGAAAAAGAAAAAATATCCAGTGAGCAGCAGTTCTGTGGGCGGAAATGCCTTGTTGATGCCAGAGGTCAGAGGAGAATGGCCAGACTAGTTCGAGCTGATAGAAAGGCAACAGTGACTCAAATAACCACCCGTTACAACCAAGGTAGGCAGAAGAGCATCTCTGAACGCACAGTACGTCGAACTTTGAGGCAGATGGGCTACAGCAGCAGAAGACCACGCCGGGTGCCACTCCTTTCAGCTAAGAACAGGAAACTGAGGCTACAATTTGCACAAGCTCATCGAAATTGAACAATAGAAGATTGGAAAAACGTTGCCTGGTCTGATGAGTCTCGATTTCTGCTGCGACATTCGGATGAATTTGGCGTCAACAACATGAAAGCATGGATCCATCCTGCCTTGTATCAACGGTTCAGGCTGGTGGTGGTGGTGTCATGGTGTGGGGAATATTTTCTTGGCACTCTTTGGGCCCCTTGGTACCAATTGAGCATCGTTGCAACGCCACAGCCTACCTGAGTATTGTTGCTGACCATGTCCATCCCTTTATGACCACAATGTACCCAACTTCTGATGGCTACTTTCAGCAGGATAATGTGCCATGTCATAAAGCTGGAATCATCTCAGACTGGTTTCTTGAACATGACAATGAGTTCACTGTACTCAAATGGCCTCCACAGTCACCAGATCTCAATCCAATAGAGCATCTTTGGGATGTGGTGGAACGGGAGATTCGCATCATGGATGTGCAGCCGACAAATCTGCGGCAACTGTGTGATGCCATCATGTCAATATGGACCAAGCTCTCTGAGGAATGCTTCCAGCACCTTGTTGAATCTATGCCACGAAGAATTGAGGCAGTTCTGAAGGCAAAAGGGGGTCCAACCCGTTACTAGCATGGTGTACCTAATAAAGTGGCCGGTGAGTGTATATATATGTGGTGAGACGCCTCCTCATCTTGTTTTATTTTGGCTGGACTTCCTGTGTTTCCTTGTTTGCCTGGTCTGGCTTCACTCTTTTCCAGAGCTTCCTCCCCTCCCCCGGCGCTGAGGCTGAGTGAGACTACACACCTGCTCCACATCTCCAATCAAGGCACTTTAAGAAGCCTGCAGCCCTCAGCCTCAGGGCCTGAGTATAGTCTACCTTTCCTAGCGGTAAAGACGCGTCTCCTGGCCAAACCTTCATTGGTATAACCTTAAGAACTTTGCTCCTAGTGACTATTTGCATGTTCATTAACTCCTGTCTCATCTGTTTTTTTCCTGCAGTGTCTCCAGCCCACACGACAGCCAGCCAACCAGCCAACCGGACATCCTCTGTTATATTATCTACCCCTTTCTGTTCGGACATTAAATTTGCTTTAAGTTGATCTCAGTCTCAGTGTCTGCTTCTGGGTCCTCACCACGAACCAGCCACACAACAGAATACTCAGGCCAGGAAGATGGACCCAGCAGACCCCAACCGAGTTCAGCAAGCCGTCCAAAAGCTCGGACTTCGCCTCGATCAACATGAGGACATGCTCCAGGGCCTCAACCAAGCCTTTCAGGGCCTCACCGTTCAAATAACGCAACTGGCAGATCAACTCCTCTCCCGGCTACCCCCGCACCAATCTGGGTCTCCCCCCTCTGTGAGTACGGCCTCCTCTTCACCCTCTCCTGTCCTCAAAGAGCCCTATGTCCCTCCTCCTGAGCCGTATGCTGGGGAGATTGGGGGCTGCAGAGGTTTCCTGCTCCGCTGCGCCTTAGTATTTGACCAACAGCCCATTAGTTACCCCTCAGATCGTTCTAAAATAGCTTACACAATAAATCTTTTGAGAGGTAGAGCCGCTAAGTGGGCTACGGCCGTCTGGGATAGGGAATCACCTATGTTTTCCTCTTACGCCCTATTCTCAGAGGAGCTCCAGAAGATATTGGATTTTCCTGTCGAGGGCCCCAAGTGTACCAAACGGTCGTTTTCCCTCACCCAGAGCTCTCGGTCAGTGGCGGAGTACTCCATTGAGTATCGTACAGTGGCGGCCGAGAGTGGGTGGGGGGAACTAGAGTTAAAAGGGATATTCACTCGGGCCTCTCTGAACAATTGAAAGACGAGCTAGCGGCTCGAGATGAGCCCTCCTCCCTTGAGGAGCTAATAGCATTAGCCCTCAGAATAGATCGCCTCAGGGAGAGACGGAGGGAGAAGAAAACTCATTCCCTGGTCCCTAGTATAGACTCCCCTTCCTCTGTTGCGGTCAGCGGGTCTCCTCTGCAGCCCTCAGTCTTCCCAGATCCGGCGCCCTCTGCCGAGGAACCCATGCAGATCGGCCGCACCAAACTACACCCGGATGAACGGAGACGGAAAATAGAGCTGAAGCGCTGTGTTTATTGTGGCCAGGCCGGTCTCTTTTTGTCCTACTGCCCGAATAAGTCAAACGGCCAGGCATCAGTGACAGTCGGCACCCTGAAGAGCCACACCTCCTCTGTTCCAAGCTCTCCCAGACGCATCGCTGTTCCTGCCTGTCTCCTATGGGGGAAGGGGCTCCACGTCGCTCCAAACCCTTATTGACTCCGGGGTAGACGATAACTTCATTCACGCCGGACTGGCAGCGCGACTTCGGCTCCCCCTGGAGGAACTCCCGGTCCCCCGTAAGGTCACCGCTCTCGATGGCAGAGTGATAGCCTCTATCACCCACTGCACTGCTTCTCTCACCCTCATCCTCTCCGGTTACCATCGGGAGGACATTCGGCTGTTCCTGCTTCCCTCTCCTCACTCTCCCCTGGTGCTTGGACTCCCGTGGCTGCAGATCCACAATCCCCAGATCTACTGGTCCACAGCGTGAGTCTCCGCCTGGAGCCCTCACTGCCACTCTCACTGCCTTCGCTCGCCCCCTGTGCTCAGACACCCGGATCCTTCTCTCCAGTTCATGGTGGAGGTCGACGCCTCGGACTCCGGAGTGGGGGCCGTCCTCTCACAGAGGGATACCGAGACCCAGAAGCTCCATCCTTGCGCCTACTTCTCCCGGAAATTCTCACCCACCAAACGACAGTACAACGTGGGAAACCGTGAGTTACTGGCTGTTGTGTGGGCACTCCAAAGATGGAGACACTGGCTGGAAGGAGCGCAACACCCATTCCTCATCTGGACTAACCACAGAAACCTTCATCACCTCCTTTCTTCCCGACGCCTCAACTCCAGGCAAGCCCGCTGGTCCCTCTTCCTCCGCAGATTCACCTTCACCGTCTCCTGTCGTCCCGGCTCCCGCAACCTCCAACCAGACACCCTCTCTCAGACCCACTCCTCGGTTACCCCGGACCCCAGCGAACCGGACACCATCCTCCCTTCCTCCTGTGTTGTCGGCTCCACCTCTTGGGAGATCGACACCATAGTGGACAAGGCCCTCCGGAACCACCCAGACCCGGGAACTGGCCCGCTGGACAGAAGATTCGTCCCTGGGGTTGCACGTTCCCAGGTCCAATAGTGGGGGCACTCCTCCAACAAACCGGTTACGTCGTGCACCCTGAGCCCTCCTTCCGTCGCCCCTCCACCCCCCTGGTTGATTGACGACCTCCCTGCCCTCACTGTACGGAAGATCCTGGACGTGCGGCCTCGGGGGCGAGGCTTCCAATGTCTCGTGGACTGGGAGGGGTACGGTACAGAGGAGCGTTCCTGGATCTCCCGCTCCCTCATCCTGGACCACCAACTCCTTGACAACTTCTACGTCGCTCACCCCAACAAGCCCGGCAGAACGCCAAGAGGCGTTCGTTAAGGAGGGGGGGGGGGGTACTGTGGTGAGACGCCTCCTCATCTTGTTTTATTTTGGCTGGACTTCCTGTGTTTCCTTGTTTGCCTGGTCTGGCTTCACCCTTTTCCAGAGCTTCCTCCTGTCCCCCGGCGCTGAGGCTGAGTGAGACCAACACCTGCTCCACATCTCCAATCAAGGCACTTTAAGAAGCCTGCAGACCTCAGCCTCAGGGCCTGAGTATTGTCTACCTTTCCTAGCGGTAAAGACGCGTCTCCTGGCCAAACCTTCGTTGGTATAAGCTCAAGAACTTTGCCCCTAGTGACTATTTGCATGTTCATTAACTCCAGCCCACACGACAGCCAGCCAACCAGCCAACCGGACATCCTCTGTTATATTATCTACCCCTTTCTGTTCGGACATTAAATTTGCTTTAGGTTGATCTCAGTCTCAGTGTCTGCTTCTGGTTCCTCACTACGAACCTGCCTCACAACTATATATATATATATATATATATATATATAATATACACATGACAAATAAACAAATCTTGATTTGGACTCCTCTTTTACCCTCAGTTAGATGAATCTATGTCCAAAATGTTACAGTTTAAAGTGGTAAACATTGAATTAACTTTTAAAATAATGTGTTGAATAAGACTGCCAAAAACGTTGCTTTTCCCACCTTGAGTCAGGTCCATGTACACTGGTGTTTTGACAGTTTGTTTCACTGAAAGCTTCTCACAGCACTGCTGCTGCTGCAGCCTGCAGGGTCATGGATTATTCATAGGACAAGGAGGAGGATGGCTGCTATTGTGTGTTGCTTGTATCCCAATGACTGTGATAGAGCCAGCCCATTGAAAAAATAAAAAATAAACAAATAAACATGTCAAGTTGATAATGGTCACAGGTGATGGATGTCAGTGATGCCCAAAAACACTCTTCCCTTTACTTTATCTGCTTCTTTATCTCACTTTTCAAGTTTGTTGTGGTGGCAGGAATATAGAGCCATGCTGCGAAAAATAAAGGATTGTTCATTTTTTTGATTCCCGTGGGTTAAAATGATGAAATATCCCTGTAATAATTTCTGCTCTCACTGTTGACAGTGTCTGATGAAGGCGGGTGTTGATGAGTTGTTTCACTTTTCAATCAATCAACAATTACTACAAACACATACTTGATCACAAAGGGAATTATACTGGCAAACAACCCCCTCTTTAGTTTTGTTGTGTGGTGATTTTTCCTTCAAAACAGACACTTTTTTGTTCCAACTGCAGGTATAAGTGCTTGACTGCTGCGTGGGATCGAAAAATAGAGATTAGTTTCTGTTTTCACCCACCTCAGTTCTTATACTTTTTAACCAGCCTGTCAAGGTTGGGTGCAGAAATAAAAGCTGAATGTCAGCTTATGATTTCCTTCAATTTTGGAGACAACACTTCAGTACATTGAAATAAGGTAAGCTTTACAGAATGTTGCCATGAGGCAAGTCCGGATGTGCCACGGGACTTTATGACAACCATACAGTACATTAGTATTGCAATATAAGTACAATTACACAAAATTGTTATTTTTTAATTTACTATATCATATGCATTCATTTCATAATACAGAGGAAATTTCTATACCCAAAAACAATTCTTAAAAAAACAAAAAATCCTCAAAGAGAACCACATATTTCGCTGTTTGCATAGTTGCGCAGGTGGGAATTAGAAAATAACATTAAAACAGAGAAACGCTCAAGACAGCAAATGGAGCACTTTCATGCTCAGAGCAAACCACCAGTACAGAGACTGCTGACCACCCATAACCGAAAGAAATCGCATCTCTATGAGCTTCGGGAAAAGCTTTTGGAATATTCCCATGAACACGTCGTCCCACATAAGGACAAGCTCTGATGTCTTTATGTGGTAGTGTGCCAGGCTGGCTCACCTTGCAGACGTATTTGGGCATCTCAACAAACTGAACACCAAGCTTCAGGGCAAGAATGAGAACATTTTATCATCAACAGACAAGATTCAGGGATTTATGAGCCCCAGGGCTGTTCCTGCTGGCATCAGCTGTGCCACAAGCAGTGCGCTGTATATGCTTAACACCTTCAGACCTTAAAAGAGAGGTGTGAGCACTATTTTTCACACATGGCTGACATCAAGGGCTATGACTGGATCTGAGACCCATTTAACCATGAATCCGCAGAACTCTGCGTCGACCGCACACTGAAACTCAAATTCAGCAAGCTCCCAATGGACCAGTTTTGGTTAGCATCTGCATCGGAGTACCCAAGCATCTCCAACCACAGGATTAAGCAACTTCTCCTGTTCCCCACTACCTACTGGTGTGAGATTGCATTCTCTACTCTGGATTACATGAAGAAGAAGACGAGATCACAGCTCTCTGTTGAACAGGACTTGCTAGTGGCCCTCTCCTCAATGCCACCAAGAGTAAAAAAAATCTGCTGTCTCTGACATGCACATGTATTTGACTGATTTGTACATAAAAATATTTACAATGGCACATGTTTCAAGATTTAAAATGTTATATTTTATAATTTGTAGGTTAGAACCATGGACAGTGCAGCTCCCTTGCATTGACAGTTCTCTGTGCTGAATTTCTTCTGGTTTCCTTTTTTCTATTTTTAATTTTGTTTAAATTCATTTTAAATTTTTCAAATAAAGCTTTGAAATATCCCGTTAATAAAGATTTCATGAGTAATATAGTCGTCTTTGTCACATTTAAATTGGCATTAGTGAATAATTATGTACATTTATAGATATTTGACATGATATGAATGATAACACATGTTATAAAGTTTATTTGGCACAGTAAGTGTGCCTTTAGATTTTTACTTGTCCTTTGGTGTGCCTTGGGGAAAAAACGTTTGAGAACCAATGCCCTAACCATTATTTCCTGACTTTTTCACATCTCATCTCATCAAACTGATCCTTTTGTGCATACATGTCCTTGCCTTTTTGTACAAAGTGTGGCCTCCTTTGAAATATGTTAGTTTTTTTGCTTCAGAAAAACGTGTAGTCATAACAAGAGCCGCTCTTGTGAATCATCCTTTTTCACAACGTTTTGTCCTGCTTTTAAAAATCGAGACAAAAATGAAAGTTTTTGTACAAACATGTAACTTTTGTTGCCCTTGCAGGATAAAATGTGTTTTTTGTTTGTTTGTTTGTTTTTCATTTAAATACCATTGCTGTTAGAGTGCTGAAGTCAGTTTACCTTGACAGAAATTCCATCTGTCTATTTGCACAGCAGCCCTTTCATTCATTAGCTTTGCACTGTTGACACCTCCAGAGTGTTTGGATTTCTATCAGGTAGCTCTGTTGATTACAAGCTCAGGCGCAGTGTCCTTCACTGCATGATATTGAACTTGACAACCAGCTTTTAGCCTACTCTTACTTGTAATTGATAGTCTAACCCCAGGGAGAACTTACATTTATTTTGTGTTGTGCTCACCATTTTTAAACTTTATTTGCAAATCTGTCAGTATGCTCGTTTTGTACAGTTTTCTGTGCCATTCACTTTTTTTCAAAATGGTTTGATTTCTGCACTTTCAAACACCTGATCAGTGTTTTTACCAGACATTAAGTTACTGTTGACCTCCATCTTTTTAGAGAACAGAGGAAATTGCTTCCTCACTGGGCACCACTGTGAGGTAGGTTAAAGGTATTTTGTTTTGTTAGTATTAAGTCTCCCTTGCTAGATTTTTCATTTTCTAAATGGCAAATACCTACTGTTAACTTCCATCTTAAAAATCAAAACCCAATGGCTGCCTCTGTCTGTTTTTTTTTTCTGTGTCAGGTTTGGTGAGAAGGTCTATGCTTGTTCAATGGTCAATCTCAGCTGTCAGTTCCTTTTTTGATTATGTGGGTTGGGGTTGAAGGGGTAACATGCAATTACCATTAACTTCCTTTTTGCTAAGCTAGAAGAAATCACTTCCTCTGAACTTATAATATCAACTTAGGTTCATCCAAAGGCTTTTACCTGAAAGGCAAAACAAGTTCGTTCTTGGTACAATTATTTGGATGTTGTTTCTCTGGTGAATAAATGTACCATTACCTTCAGATTTTGTGAAAACTGCAGAGCGTTCCACCAGTTTTTGCACCTGCTGAGTAGAGTGTTTATCTGAATTTGAGTTTCATTTCCAGTTTATTCTGGATATTTTTTGTTGTGAGGTCTTAACTTCCTTGTACAGTCCACATTTAACATTGACATCTTTTAGGAGGCAGTATGTCTTGATCATACTGACTCGTTGCACACCTGCTCTGATAAGTCAGGTGAGGACGCTTGTGTTTTATCTGACGCCACACTCTTAGTAATCACTCAAACACCAAGAACAGACCTCCACACTCTTTTCTCATCTTTGTGTGTGATAGAGAAAGAGAGAGCGGAATCAGAGAGAGGTAGAGGCAAGGGACAGCCGACTCTGTGGTGGCTGTTCTGTGATTGACCTGATTATGGAAAAGAGCCCCTGGCACTTCGCCCAGAGGGTGCAGGGATTGTGGCGTCTTCATAAAATATATTCCTGTTGTGCCGGCTTCTGTCACAAGACGCCCATGGATAAAGCTCGGCCATGGCAGCCTGCCAAAGAGGTAGCGTGTGAGCCGCAGAGAGGGAGAGAGAGAGAGAGAGAGAGATGGAAAGAGGGAGCTTTTTTCGGCAGAGGGGAGAGGAACAGGAGGAGATTAATGATGGAGAAGTGAAAGAATTATGCAGCAGTCATGTCATGGCAGCATTATGGAGGATATTATTGATGTTAGCATCCTGGTGGTAATTGCAGGTGGAGAATGTTGGGCGTTTTTTGGAGGGAAATATCTCAAATTAATCTGCCAAATAGATTTGGTTGAAATTCTAAATGATAGTTACATAATTAAAGGTCCCATGGCATGCCAATTTCACACAACTTAAAATAGTCCCCTGGTGTGTTAAAAGCATGTCTGTGACGTCTTTCGGTCAAAATTCGATTTGGATCAATTATTTTAGTGCTCTTTTTTTCAGCTAAAAACAGCTCCACTCAAAATCCTCTGTTTTGGGCCATGTCTCTTTAATGAAATGAGCTGCACCTAAGCCACGTCCACTTTACACCCATCTCTCTGAAAGGGGCTGTGGCTGTGCTCAGATAGCCATGTGCTAATGTTTACACTGGCTCGGTCATGGCTGCAAGAAGATCACTCGTACAACCTTACCAGTTTGAGCCAGAGTCTGACCCAGAGGGAGAGGCTCCGGAAGAAACTCTTAGCCGCGTTCAGACCAAACGCGATTTGAAGCGACCTAGTCGACACATCCTATGTATTATTCAAAGCCGCCAGGAGGGTCACGCTTAAGGAGGAAGATATGAATGTAGAAAAAATTACAACCAGAGCTCTGCTACAATGTAAGATCTTGGTGCTCTAAAACTTCTCTGAAGCCTTTGCTAATTAATAGGATGGCCGACCGTCCAGCATTAGCCGGGACGTCCCGTATTTGAGCCAAAAGAGGCGCGTCGCCGCACTGGTATATGCTAAAGCTACATGCTGCTCCGGAGGGGGATTTTGTCCCCCTCGGGGAAGAAGCGAGCGGCTAAAATACAGGAAGATCCGGTAAACCGGCGCGGATCCGGTGTGTTTATCAAAGCGTGGTGGCTGTGCTGAGGCACCGGGGGGAATTTAGGCTAAACAGTAAGTCAAAATAAAACGTTCATACTTACAGATGCCACGTTTGTAGTAGGATCACGGATAGTTGGTACGGATCCATTCTTTATCTTCAGACATCTAGCAAATCCAGCGTCGAAATGTCCCTCGTTGATAAAACAGTCCGAAGTGAAATGGTGCGCACATACGTTCAGATATTTTGGAAGTGCCGCGGGTACATTCCCATTATAAATAAAATCCACCCATTGAGTCCTCAAATCCTCAGACGAGGGAGTTTTCAAAAGAGTTTTGTGCTCGTTTGTGCAGCCAACAACAGAGCAAACGCTGCCTCTTTTTCAGATCGTACTTTCGCCATGGTTCTAACCGGAGCAATGTGAGCGAGCGGCCGGGAATAATGGCGCTGTTTTGATCATTTTTGGGACAGGGCAGTGGGCGGCTCCATGGGCAGTACCATCAACATGCCAGCACTGACATGACGTCATGTCAGTGGAGTTTTCAGAACGGCCTGCTCTGAGCACACAATTCCTAAATACAGAGATAACTAAAAAAACGACTGGATGGAATTTTTTTGAACTTGGGGGGATTGTAGCGGTTTTCTATCCCTGATATGCAGTGTAAGTCAGGTTCGCCGTGCCTACAAGGCGTTCCCAAGCACAATTTGGTATTTTGGTGAGCAGCGCAGCCTGGGGTAAGTATCCTCCCCTCCCTAACTCAGCTCCTCCTAGCAGCGTAAGTCATAGCGAGGGAGGAGAGAGGGCGTGGAGTGAGTTTAACACAGCCGATACCTGTATTGACCAATAACATCAGCTCCTCTCCTCGCCTTTAAATCCGCCACCGACAAGGCGTATTCCAATTTTAGTGAAGTAGTCAAAGAGATCAAGAGATGTCTGAAGACATTAATGCCACACGATGGTGACAGAAGGCAGCTCCTCAACAAGTGTCGCTGTAAACACTGCAGAGGACATCCTTCACACTGTTCGCTTTCACTGGCCGACATGTCCAGGTCGAGCTGCGCGAGAAATAAGAGGAAGAGGAAGAAAAAAAAGGAGGGAGACGAATTACACATCTTGTTAACTTCATCACGTGTGTCTATTTACTAGATATTTAATTTAATTTAATGCGGTTTCAGCTGTGTTGATTTGGTCATGTTGTGTGTCCAAACGCGTGCCAAACGTGCTCATCAGATCAGATATAGGTCATAATATATCAATATAGATCTAAATGTATGTGCTGACTCAGAATATTAGTTGCTGATGATTATTTATTGCATTGAAGTGTGCCTGACACTGTGGAAACCCACCGGTGAGGCATCGGTGACATATGCTGATACGCCGCCGGTCTACCAAAATACCACTAAACCAGCTGCGCTCCGCCTGTGCTGAAAGCTGACCAGGTTTGAATCGGCGAGCTTTTAGAGCACTTTATACGCCACCGTTGAGCAGGAAAATGTCACTGCGCCTTCTGATTCTGTCGACACCTCCCTCTGCCACGCCACCACGCCCAGCTTGGCGGACCTTGGTGCGCCTCAGTCCACGGAAATACCTAACTGGCTGTACGCCAGGCTCCGCCAGATGAAAATTTCACTGTGCGGGGTCCGCCACCTCACCGCCGCCTCACCAGCGGACATGAAAATAGAGCCCTATGACTCAAACCTCACCAAGTGCAGTGGAAAAATTTATGATAATTCTTCATGGAAATGCAATCAGACCAAGGGGCTAAGGCAGAAGAACTACTGCGTCTGCAGTGCACATACAAGATACACAAGAACTCTGATTGTATTTCCATAAAGTAATAATCGTAAATGTTCTTTCTTGAGCTGTGAAACTCCATTGCACTCAGTGATTGACTCGTCAGGGCTCCCCTACAAACAAGTAGCTGCTGGAGGAGAGTAGTGTTTAGTCTCTTTGCTAAAGAAATTAGGCAAAGTTAAAAAGATGTTTGATGGCTAGTGCTATGGCTGGGACCCTATATGTACTGTTGATAAAGTCAGGTGCTGTTCTGAGCATTATTTGTGGCTATAGAGTGGCGTTTTGGCTTGTTTATGGCTCCTCAGACTGCTGTGTATTGTGTGCGGTCATTGCTAAAGTTGGTATAACTAGAGAAGCAAGCGGTCGGCAACATTCATCTCTCGAGGGGTTGTCTAACTCGGTGTTACGATGTGTTTGACTTTAACTTAAATTTACGCCGGAATATCTCTTTGATCTTGTGAAAATAAGATTTGTCTGTTAGGGTTTTTTTTTTTTCAATTGATTTTAAATCTGTTTGCAGTTACTTTTCATTTTCATGTGTAAATGAAACATGTTTTCCTCATTCAAACAAAGCTGCTGCCAAAAAGAGCCTTACATTCAAGAAAAGAGGTAAAAACTTATTACAGCAACAGACACACTTTACTTTTGAACAAAAATCTAACAATTTAAACATGAAAATGACAGGAGTCCTCAACAAAAATCTCTTAAGTACTTCATAAGTCAAAGTAAATGCCGGGGAACCAACCACTTGGGAAAAAAAAAAAAAAGCAAAGGTCATAACAGTACTTCAATTTAAAAGAGGAGAAACAACAGACTCATTTTAAATTTCATTTCAAGGATACAAGCAGAGTTTGCAACTCTAAAAATCGATTTGCAGTGAGTTTCATAGTGTCAGGGCATAAACAGAAAAAGAAACAAAAAAGGTACCCTCACTTTGTACTCCTTAAGAAATTATATGGAAAATTTGTAAGAGAAGTTAAAAATTTGATTTTTTTTTTTTTGTTTTCTTGAATTAAAAGGTCTTTTAAACTAATGATCAAATATACAGGTCACTGGTATCTGAAGCAGTTGGTGAACAAAATTCACGCTTTTAATGTTGGTTTTATTTTGTTGTTAAGACCTCTGAGCTTTGAGTTCAGCTACATCTAGTGTGATGATCAATGTATCAATGTCACCATGATCATGGTGATAGTTGGGAGTGTGGTGTGGAAAATTGTTGATGCAGGGGTTTTGATGGATCCGTAAACTGAAGAACATCTGTTTGACTGCTGTGTTGATCATGTGTTTTATAAACAGAGTCTATTTTGATGTGTTGTAAAGTAATGTAAAGAGATTAAACCTTATCTAATGATTCAAAGTCTTAAAAGTTACTTGTATTTGAAAGTTCAATCTTTTTGCATTACCCGAGCCAGGCCCACAACAGATGCAGCAGGCTAAGGCTGCCCTTCAACTATCCCTCCCCCTTAATCCAAACTTCAATCTGACCTTTAGTGAGGATTCATGCAAACCCCAACTCATGAGTGTGTAGTGGTCGGTAAAAGTAATGAGCTGCCAAGAGCAGGCACTGGGCCAAATGATGGAGGACTGCCAGGATGTGCCGGAATGCACCATTAATCTGTAAACTGAGACCACACATCTTTATACTTCCCCTGTGTTTCTTCTCAGTGGTCCGTTGCACTATTGCAGTGTTTTGTTTGGGTATAAAAGTGGTAGACAGGGAAACAGGTGGTGTTTACCAATTCTTTTTAGAGTAATTCAACTAGGTGAAGCATATACCTGTGTGTTGGTCACTGATTCCATGTTGGTCTGAGAACCGTTAAAACACCTCTTTTACAGCCTGTCTCCCTGTTTCCTCCACTGCACACCCACAGATTTTCCCATCCTTATGCCCTTGTGTCCTGTTAAATTCAACCATGCAATACTAGACATTTTCCAACCCACCTTTATAGCTGTCTTCTCTTAAAATCCCACTCTGATCATTTTTTATTTTCACTTAAAGTGTTATCGTGGTCTTTAATTTGTGATTATGAAGTAAGTAATGAAGTTTTAGCCAAAATCACGTCATCTGTGTCATTTTCAAGGGCTTTTCTTCTGCAGAGCTCCAGTAGCTCACTAGCAATTTGCCTATTTTTTTTTCTATTTTTCCAGCCTTTCACCCTTAAATATATTACATCATTATATATTAAATATACTGTGCTAGCATAAGCGGTTGTTCTTAGCCTTGGATGTTAACGTGACACTGGTGCAAATCTACCCACCACTTGCAAACTGAAGCCTGATCACCGCAGAGGGTCCACTTGTTGGACCCGTGTGGGTAAGTTTTGCTGCCTCTCATAAGGTCCACCTGTTAACACCATATTAACGTTGTGGGCTCTGGACTGAGCCCCCGCCTGTGAGTACCTGTGACGCCCCAGCTAGCAACTGTCACTGCTATCATCAGGCTAACACTAGCACCCTGTTAGCCCCATACTGGCCTCCTCTGTCTCTGCATTCTCCCCTAGCCACCTCACCCACAACATGCCTCCACTCACCTCTCCATCTGGCTGTGTCAGCTGTGCCAGCCTGGCTGAAAAGATCCTGGTGCTGGAAGGAAGAATCTCCTCTCTCTACAAGATCCAGGAATCTGAGAAACATCTAGATACCATCGTCTTCAAACCGGTGCAATCTGACACAAGTAGTGGTCTGGAGCCTGAACCCACTGCTGCTGCTGTGTCCACCTCTACTCCAGAACCTGCTGTCACCGCTCATTATCCCGCCGGAGAATCAGCCTCTCCTCCTGAGCCTGTCACCACTCACCGTCCCGCTCCTCCTCCACTCCCCATCTCCGATGACTCCTGGGCTCGGTTCGGGGCTAAGCCCTAGGGTCTGGTCAGCTCAACTCCATCTGAACCATGGTCGTTGGTTGGTCCCCACAGCAGGAGAGGGAAGAGTTCCTCTCATGCACATCCTGACTTCAGTCTCCCTCTTCAGAATACTTTTGACGTCCTCAGCATGAGTGATTTCCCTCCCCTGGCTGCTCCTCCGCCGTCCCGTTTATCCCATGGGTCTCGCAGGTCTCCACCAGTTCAACAGTGTCGCTCCATACCGTGCTTTACACCAGCGCCTGGTAGGACCCGTCTCCCTCCTATCCCAACCACCTCTCCGTTGAAACCACCTTCACCAGCTGCTCATCAGCGCTCTGCTCCCCCGCCTCGCTCCTCCTCCGACGGCCGCCCTGAGAAGCTAGCTGAGCAGCGCTCAGGTCTTCCGCCTCGCTTCTCTGTCAGAGGGCATCCAGCGACAAAAGCTACCAAAGCTGCTGAGGTCAATGACTCCACCGACCCAGTGCTGGTTGTTGAGTCGTCTATGGTCCGTCATGTCCGCATTAACAAATGCCGCACTTCATGTCACTCAGGTGCACTCGTTAGTGATGTCCGTCTTACGTCACCTACGTCACAGCCCATCTGTTTTCACAGTAGTAATACATGCAGGCTCAAATGACTTAAAGCTGGAGCTGTCTGAGAAACTGAAAGTGGACTTTATCTCCCTCATTGACAGTGTTTTAAACTCAAACAAACAGTGCATCATCTCAGGCCCAATACCATCCCCCCGCTTTGGAGATGTGAAAAATAGTCGTCTCAGACAACTACACATCTGGCTCAAGAACCACTGCTGTAACAGACACATCCCTTATGTGGACAATTTCACCACCTTCATTAAAAGACCTGATCTATTTAAGCACGACTGCCTCCATCCAAACTACATTGATCTCGTCTGTTATCAACAAACATTGAACTTACTCTACACTCCTGCAAAGCCTTCATCCCGTGACAATCCCATTCGATACCGCTGATGGCCAGGCCTCAACCACCGCCAGCCGGGCTCCAACCACAGCCAGCTGGGCCTCAACCACCACCAGCCGCATCAACAACAACAACAACAACGACAACAGCAGCATCCAGGCCACCGCTGAACAGGATGAATAGTATGTACACACACTCACACAACAAAAATAAGTGCGGGGCAATCAACAGAGCTATCCACATGAATCGGACAAGGCAAGTCTTTCAGACGGTCAACAACTCCAGATCAATCTGGGACTCGAAAGCAAAACCAAAGAGTATATTAGGTGGTCACCTTAATATACGCAGTTTAAGATCAAAAAGTAAACAGATCAATCACCTTTTGACAGAGTCAAATCTAGATTTTGTTTGTTTGTCAGAAACTTGGCTTCATAAAAACTCTCCCTCTGCTGAAATTCCAGGTTATGTGGTGTTTAGGAGAGACAGAGCTGAGGTGAAAGGTGGTGGGGTCCTGGTCTATGTAAGAGACACCATTCAGTACCATGAGATTGAATGGCAGGGTCCGAATGATCTGGAATGTAAAGGCCTTAACATGATTCTTGCACCTTAGATGTCGTTTACACTTATAGTCATGTACCGTCCACCATCCTCCAACATTAGCTTCTTTGATAAGTTTAAGGAAATACTACGCCATTGTGATTTCAAGAAGGAGGTCATTATAATGGGCGACTCAAACCTAAACTGAGAAGATAAAACTTCAAGGAAAAAGCTGAAGCAGATAACTGATGGTTTTAACATGGTCCAAATGGTAAAGGGTCCTACACGGATTACATCCACTACCAGTACTCAAATTGATCTGATCTTTACCAACAGGCCTGAAAGAATTACAAAATCATACAATATGATAACTGGGCTGTCAGATCATAATTTTGTACTTATATCCAGGAAATTAACTAACAGGCAATTTGCTACACATTCTGGTAACAAATACTTCACTGGTATCCCAAGAAAAAAACAGGAAGCTTTCAAATCAGCCATAACAAAGTTGAACTGGGACACTCTACTTTCAGACAATGATGTGGAAATGATTAGTAAGAACTTTACAGAGAACATACAAAGCAAAATCAAGGAATTCTCTGTCAGAACTAAACGCAAAAGCAAGAATCAGTCAATATTATAAAACTCAATCAATATTATAAAACTCATGAAGGACAGAGATAATGCCTTAAAAGTAGCCACAAAAACTAAACTGAGCCATGAGAGGCAGAAATTTGCCATGCAGAGGAACAGAGTGACTAGGCAAATGAGAAAAGCAAAAGCGGATTTCTTCATCTCCATTATTTAAAACTGCCACGGCAACTCGAAAAGTATCTGGACCCAAATCAATAAACCAACTGGTCAATATCATACTTCTATGAAAAATATTGAATTAAAAGTTAATGGTACAATCCTACAAAACCCAACTGATGTGGCTCAGACACTTAACCAATACTTTGTCAAGTCGGTTGCTGACAGAGCTCGGAGGTTCACAGTTCAACATAATGGGCTCTATTTTCGTGCCTCGCCGGAATAGTGCCAAGGGCGCGGCGTAAGTCAGGTCCGCCGCGCCGACAAGGCGTTCCCAAGCACAATTTGGTATTTCGGTGAGCGGCGCAGCCCAGCGTAAGTATCCCCCCTCCCTAACTCAGCTCCTCCCAGCGGCGTAAGTCGTAGCGAGGGAGGAGAGAGGGTGTGGAGTGGGTTCAACACAGCCCAGACCTGTTTTCACCAATCACATAAGCTCCTCTCCTTGCCTTTAAATCCGCCACCGGCAAGGCGTATTACAATTTTCATGAAGTAGTCAAAGAGCTCAAGAGATGTCTGAAGACAGTAATGCCACACGATGGCGACAGAAGGCAGTTTCTCAACAAGTGTCACTGTAAGCACTGCATTGGGCGTCCTCCACACTCTCTCATCTGAGCACAGATGGATTTGGTGTGTGTAATGTTGGACCCACTGGTAAGACAAACACCCTTTTCCACAAATAAAGACACTCATATAAAGTTGCATATATTTGCGCTCCGTGGCCTGGCTCTTTCTTTCATAGATGTTGGCATAAAAAAAATAAATTTGGCTCACAAAACTGAATATTATAATATCCGCATGTAGGCTTAAAGTAAATAACTCATCTGAGCACTGAAACAAATCATCTGTTCAGCCGCTGCAGGACGGAGAGAGGACACGGAGACATGTCCAGGTCGAACTGCGTGAGAAATAAGAGGAAGAAAGAAAAGGAGGGAGACGAATCACATATCTTGTTAACTTCATCATGTGTGTTTATTTACTAGATATTTAATTTAATTTAATGCGGTTTCAGCTGTGTTGATTTGGTCAGGTTGTGTGTCCAAACGCGTGCCAAACGTGCTCATCAGATCAGATCTAGATCAGAATATATCTATATAGATCTAAATGTATGTGCTGACTCAGATTAATAGTTGTCGGTGAGGCATCTGTGACGTATGCTGATACGCCGCCAGTCTACCAAAATTCCCTTTAGACCAGCTGCGTTTCGCTTGCGCTGAAAGCTGACCAGGTTTGAATCGGCGAGCTTTCAGTGCACTTTACACGCCACTGGCGCGTACGATGTCACTGCGCCCGCTGATTCTGTCGACACCTCCCCCTGCCACACCCAGCTTGGCGGATCTCAGTTCGCCTCCGTGCACCTCAGTCCAGGAAAATACCAAACTGGCTGTAAGCCGGGCTCCGCCAGACAAAAATACAACTGCGCGGGGTCCGCCACCCTCCGTCACCTTACCGGCGTACACGAAAATAGAGCCAATTGTGTGCGATAACAGTACTGCCACAGCTAGCACCAATGGGCCACTGTTTGGTCTTAAACCTGTGTCTACAACTGATGTCACAAAAGTGATAACATCTCTCAAGACATCCAGAGCAAAGGATGTTTATGGGATGGACACATTCATACTCAAAGAAGTCAGTCAGTCAATAGCCGATCCATTAACACACATTATTAACGCTTCACAAAACCAGGGGAGATTTCCAGAATCATGGAAATTTGCTGTTGTTGTTCCTGTTTTTAAAGGTGGGGATCCTTTCCTTGCAAATCAAGTCATCCATGGAACGGGGGGGGGGGCAGTGGGGGCTGTCTTCCTTGACCTTCAGAAAGCATTTGATACCATTAATCACTCAATATTATCAAAGAAACTCCTGAACTTCAATCTCTCCGCAAACTGTCTTAACTTGATACAATCATACCTCTCATCTCACTCCCAGTTGGTTAGAAATAATAATCATAATTCAAATGTCTTAAGCCGTGTTCAGACCAAACACGTCCAGGTCGCGTCGCATTGGTCGGTCACGTCGCGTGGCGCCCTGGTGTGTTCACAACGGGTCCAATGCTGTGGTCGCAGGACGCGGCTGGTCGCCGCTGACCCGCTTCTCCCACCTTCCTTCTCCCTCCTTTTCTCCCTCATATATACATCCCGCAGCCCCTTCCAGCGCTTGCGCCACACACACACACACACACACACACACACACACACACACACACACACACAACACACACACACACACGTTGAAACATGTAGCCTAGCAAGCAGGGGAAGTTTGCTATGTTTTCAGAAAATAGTCTGCTCACTGAAATAAATAAACAAACGACCAGAAAGCCTGAAATCATGGGCCACCTTCGCCCATGCCTCCTCCTTGGAGGTGCGGTCCCGGTAAAACGCGCACCCCACGTCGTACAGGACCGGGTGATAACTCACGGCAGTGATAAACTGCTCCTCCATTGTGATTCTTCTTCTCCTCCTCCTTGCTTCGCCGGTTTGTTGACGTCAGCAGAGCCCTGATTGGCTGTCGCGGCACGGAGTCGCGGATAGTCGCTCCCAAAGTTCAAATATTTCAACTTTGGGAGCGAGGCGACTTGGCGTCCTGCGACCTCGGCGACGCGACCTCGGCGGCGCAACCTCGGCGACGCGACCTCGGCGACCATGCGCGACCTGGTCGCCAAGTCGCATCAGGTCGCGTCGCAGGCAGCCGGCGGTCGCCAAGTCGCGTCAGGTCGCGACTGTCCATAGACTTTTCATTAAGAGCCGTTGCTGACGTCGCCGAGGTCGCGTTTGGTCTGAACACCCCTTTACAGTTATCAACTGGTGTTCCGCAAGGCTCAGTACTAGGCCCACTCCTATTCAGCATGTACATTAATGATCGCCCTTCTGTGTGTGAGTCATGTGACACCTTAATTTACGCCGCTGACATGGTAATATTAGCTCATGGGAAGACGGCAGGGGAGGTTGTGACCAAGCTGACTTATGCAATGGTGAGAATTACATCCTGGCTGAGTCAATGCTGCTTAAAGTTAAATCTGACAAAAACGGTGTGTATGTTCTTCTCAAGAATGATCTCAAACATAAATACAGGCATTCTTGTCTCTAGTGAGAGGCTACAGGCTGTTACAGAATTTAAATATCTAGGACTGCACATTGACTCAAATCTCATTTTCAAAACTCACATAAAGAAAGTCTGCAGTAAGGTAAAGTTCAGTCTGTCAAATTTTAGATTCATCAGAGAGTCCCTATCAGTCAAAGCAGCCAAGATATACTTCTTCTCTATGGTCATCTCTCACATCACATACTGTCTGATAAGTTGGTCCAATGCACACTCCACAGCAATGACACCACTGGAATCATTATACAAACAAGCACTTAAAACACTGGATAAAAAACCTTTCAGACACCATCATTGTCATATTCTGAAGAAATATAAACTGCTGAGTTGGCAAAATCGCATCATATACAAAAATATCTGTCTAGTATACAAGATCATGCATGGTTCAGCTCCTCCTCCACTATCTGGTTTCATAACATTTAAATCCTCTGCTACCAGAGCCACCAGAGGTGCAACTAAAAAAGATTGCACAATCCCACTCAGGAAAACCACATTCAGCCAGGCTGTACTCTCATTCAGAGCATCAAACCAATGGAATACAGTACAACAATCAGTCAGAGAATCTCCATCATATCACTCATTCAAAATCAATGCAAAGGATTGGCTTGTTGAGTCCCAAAGATGTGAGCACTATTAACAGTAGTACTCCTCCCACTAATTTTAACCATAATTTTACCTGCATCAGGGATTAAATGTAATTTAAAACCGCAATGATTATACTGTATTTTCATTTGTGTTTTATTTTATTCTATTTTATTTTTCTAAAACTTGTACTGTATCTGTCTTCGTGGGGATATGTAATGCCTACTGTATTTCTGTTTATGCCTATTTTGTATTTTTGGTTATTAATATCATTATTTTTATTATTATTATTATTATTTATTTTATTTTCTCCTTTTTTTGTGTGTGTGTGAGCCTATTAACATCTGGCGAAGGGACTGCCGATGAAAATTAGCCTTTCGTCTAAACTCGGGTACATTTACTTTCTGCAAGGAAACGTTGATCAATGTACACTGTCCCTTTTTAAAAATAAAGAATTTGAATTCAGCAGTAACAACAATAAAATACCTCTACCTTCATCATAAGGCCTGCATGCCCTCATTTATTGACCTTACACGCTAATCAACATCCTCAGTTTTGCCACTCTTCTAATCAATTATTAACACCACACAACAGCAGTGATTATTTGTGAAAGTAAATGCCTACAGCCTACAAAACAACTGCTGATCCTACAGCCTCCTTTTCTCTTTTATGCTTGTTAGGTATGCTTGTTGTATCATCAACTTATCTCTGGAGTCTGTAGGACCCACCCAAAGGCAGCCCTATTGGGCTAACAACTATTCACACATTGACCCATTAAAAGTAACAGGAAAATACCTTAAAAAGTTTAAAAAGGGTTTTATAAAAAGATAACAACATAGAACTAAATAATTACCAATAGAGATGGAATTTATCTGTGAACTGGTTCTCATCGTTCACTTCAAAGAGCCATTCAAACAACTGACTTGTTCACAACACGTCTTTAATTACCAAAGATTAACTAAAGAATAAATCAAGACGTCAGCGAAAACACAAACAACCAAAACACAAGGATCCCCCAAATGAGAGGCAGCAGGACAGTTTCCCTCCAAATGCCTTTCCCTAATGCAGGTAGCTCCTGGGTGTTAAACCCTTAAGACCAGTCGAGGCTGATTGTCAATTAGTGATATTAAGTGGGAAGAGCTAAGAAGACAAAAGGGAAGAAGAACCAACAAGAAGCATATAGTCGTAACAAGTCCTTTCTTATCCTATCCTGTCCTACCCTATCCTATCCTTCCCTATTCTATCTAACCCTTTAATATCCAACCAATTTACATTTTGTACCATTCTTTCTCACCCTATCCAGTCCTACACAATAATTTCTTGTTCTTTACTAATTCATTCTATTTTATTTTGTCCTGTTCAGTGTAAATCCATCCCAACAGTCCTTTCTATTGAATCTGATCATATAATTTCCTGGTCCATACTACCCATGTATCATACCCATCCCTATATCCCTTCCCATTCCATCTTGTCCCTTTTTATTACAACATATCTCATCCCTCTGTTCAAATTCAGCAAATTCCCTCCAATCCCATCTCATTCAAACCCATTTTACCCACCCTTGTGTATTCTATCCCATACCGCCCTGTCTTACCTAATCCTTTCCTCTCCTTTCTATTTAATGCCATACCGATGTTTCTTCCTATCTTGTCCTTATCTTTCCTATTTCCCTACCCAACTCTGCACTTCCCTTTCCTTACCCTAACCTACTCTACCCTGCCCTTTCCTTACTCCAACCTACTCCACCTTGCCCTACCCTACTGTAACCTACTCTACCCCACCCGACCCTACTCTATCCTGCCTTACCCTAACTTACCCTACTTTTCCTCATGCTACCCTATTATATTCTCACTCCAAATACAGTCTCAGTATTTGGGTCCATTTTATTCTGTCTGCCTCAAAGATGTCAAAAACTTTTTTTTATTTTTTAGTTCCCTAGTCCCTTGTGCATGTATGTACATGTGTGCATATGGCCTGTGTGGCCTGGTTGGGGGGTTCTAGGTGTATCTTATCCATTTTTTTTTTTACTCCCTGTACATACAGTATATTAATATGTAAATTATGTGAGAACTACAAATTCAAGTTTGTTTGCAGAGAGCCTTTGCCTGCACTTAGGTCTACATCATCTCTGTCTGTAATTGTGAGTGAGACCATTTTTCAGTGTCCGATTCAGAAAGTATTCCAAATGTACCTTGAGGGTTTAAAATATATAAACAAGGGGGGAAAACCTCCAGACTCTTTTCTGTAGTTCTTTTCATCTAAAAACCATCAAAAATAATCTCTCCCCCTGAGAAGTAATTAAACCCCCTCTCATCTGGCAAACACTTTAAATAGGCATTAAAGAAAAGACTGCATGATTCTGTGTTTGCATTTCCCCTGAGGAAGGACCTTTTTCTTGATATATTTGGACTGACGGGTGTTGGGTGATACTCTGGAAGGGTGAATTTCCCAGTCAGAAGGAAATCAATTATTCATTCCGTGGTATGGCGGGTTGAGCAGCACCCTGACAGCTGCAAAAGTAGCTCTGAGATTAGGGACAAGTATGGAGTGTTGTGTGCCTCATGTATATTCTGTTATACCCTGCAAGCCAAAAACACTGAGCTAATGCTTTAAAAAAAAAAAAAAAAAAACCTGAATAAGAACACAACAGCCTTTTGTGCAGTGAGTACCACAAGATCCAATAAAAGGATTCTGATGATTTCCTGGTACAACACAATCAAACCCTGAAATATCTGTTTTCTTTTTCTGTAGATAATCTCTTTTCCATTAAGAATGCATTTCTTTGTGCAACATTAATCATCAGATTTCCTGTGTCACCCTTATTGCATTTTTCAGCAAAAACTGACTCTAATGCAGCATCACTGGGAGAGCTAAATTTCTCTCCCACCCACATGGAGATGTTGTTTATTTTTCTATTCTCTTATCATGAATTTTTCATCAGCCTCTTGATGAGATATTTCATGTGTTTGGCTTAAAAAGCCCAGTAGGCAGTCTTCGAATGGGGGATAAATTCTACTGTCCTGCTGCTACAGTAGCGTTTTAATACAGTAGGTATGGTCTTAGAAACTTTACATCTGCTGGGCCAGATTTGCCCTTTCAAAAGTGAGAGCAGTTAAAATAAACTGAATAAACCTTTACTTGACTTTTCCTATCAGACTGACTCTCCACTGCTTAAGTTCACACTGCTGTTGGGCAGTTTTGGACATTTTAAAGCCCTTGTGAGGAGTTTTTTGACATTTATAAAACAGACTGTAATGTATACCAATGCAACTTCATGACATAAAAAAGCAAACCAGACCACTAGTGACAAGACTGACATCTTCATATGGTAAACTTTAATATCTGAAACTGGTAGGAAGGGACAGGTATCAGATAAATAGGACATGCCCTCTTTTTCTCAATGGCCACATACAATATTTACTTTAAATGATACATTTAAGCCCCAAATTATTTGTTATTTGTTAGGATACACTACTTTAGCTTGGAGAGGATAAAATAAGCAAAGACTGGTTTGACCACAAATTGAAATAAATTGAAATTACCATACAGGAGCTTTAATAGAAGTCTAAAAATGACAGAAAAAAACAAGTATATAAATATTGATCCTTGATTATTTATCCTTGTTGAAGGATAAAGGATAATGGGAAGGTGCAACAGCAGTAGTTGAACTAGTTGTTATAACATAATGTGCAAATGTTGACTTAAAATCTTACTTTTAAATGTAAATACATAATTTTTCTTGAATCTCTATTGTATATTTAGGGCTCTATTTTCGTGCCACGCTGGCGACGCGGCGCATGCGCGCCGACAAGGCGTTCCCAAGCACAATTTGGTATTTTGGTGAGCGGCGCAGCCTGGCGTAAGTATCCCCCCTCCCTAACTCAGCTCCTCCCAGCGGCGTAAGTCGTAGCCAGGGAGGAGAGAGGGCGTGGAGTGGGTTTAACACAGCCAAGACCTGTATCAGCTCCTCTCCTCGCCTTTAAATTGATTTGGTCAGGTTGTGTGTCCAAACGCGTGCCAAACGCGCTCGCCAGATCAGATATAGATCAGAATATATCTACATAGATCTAAATGTATGTGCTGACTCAGAATATTAGTTGTTGTTGATTATTTATTGCACTGAAATGTGCCTGACACTGTGGAAACCTGCCGGTGAGGCATCAGTGACATATGCCGATACGCCGCCGGTCTACCAAAATACTACCAGACCAGCTGCGCTGAAAGCTGACCAGGTTTGAATCGGCGAGCTTTCAGCACACTTTATACGCCACCAGCAAGCACGAAAATGTCACTGCGGCAGCCGATTCTGTTGACACCTCCCCCTGCCTCGCCACCACGCCCAGCTTGGCGGACCTTGGTGCGCCTCAGTCCACGGAAATACCAAACTGGCTGTACCCCAGACTCCGCCAGATGAAAATTTCACTGCTCGGGGTCCGCCACCCTCCGCCACCTCACCGGTGGACATGAAAATAGAGCCTTTATAATGTTTATGTATCTTGTATTTGATTTTTTTTTTCTTCTGTAAATATGCTGCTGGAATTTTAATTTCCTTTAGGAAATATTCCCAAAAGGATAAATAAAGTTGTATTTTATCTAATCTAATCTAATCTAAATCCAGGGAACCCTCAATGCAATTTAACCATCACTGGTTTGTTCAGTGGTTCAGATGTGCTAGTGGAAGCTAATGTAGTATCAAGCAGCAATTTTTTCTAATCATACACTCATGAAAACCCTCAATCAGACCTTTGAGTAGAAAACATTCAGCTGGGCCTCTGTGCAAACATTTTTATTCAACTTACTCTCCCTCTTTATCAAAACCAACTATACCCACAATGCTGCTTGGCCACCAGAGGTTCAGGTTTTTCATGTTGAAAGAGGCCAACATTGCCATGAGCTGCTAGCCTCAAGCTAAGATTAGGGTAGGAGACCACAACCATTCACTGATGTTATTTCTTTCTGACTACCACCTCAGGTTGTTTTTGTTGTTAGACTTGTATTCTGCCCCAGCTCAACCTCAAACCTCATCACCTAAGGCACTTAATCAGATCAGGAGCAACAAAAGGTGGGAGAGAAGTTGCCATTTGATTCTAATTTGGTTTAAAATGATCAGTCAACTCCTTTCTACTCAACTTAAATTGACTAGGTAATGTTTGTTTATTGGTGGAGATTTTTTATTCATGCCAGTAGCATTAGCTTGTGGATTAAGGCTTTATATTAAAATGAATTGTGAGCGAATTGGCTGTTGACTATCAGATGGACCAAAGTGAAATTATTGTAATGAAATATAGGTGATCTAGCTGTTTGATTCAAGCAGTAACTTCACTTGCTGGATAGCTAAGCCAGAACACGGGGTGAAAAACTGAGTGTGCACTAAAACCTGACTCCAAAAGAGTCTTGTTTCAGATATGGTGACCGTTGTTGGCCTTTATTGAGCCCAAAGCATGACTTTACTGAGACTTTTTCCAGGTCCTATTCCAGGGATTGGATTTTAAGCAGCATGATGATTTGACAAACAGCAATTGAAATATCCACTGAGTGACAAGATAGCTTGTTATCCACACTGTCACTTCATTAAAACAGCTCATTTCTGTCTGCATGCCCTTCATGTCATTTCAAGGACGTTTTTGTAGGGTAGTCTTCATGAAGAATAGGCTGCTGTGAATACATTTTCATTTCTGCTCAGAAGACTAGAGTGAGAAAAAAGAGACAGGTGTGCCAGACTAAAAATCCTTTGCCACCTCACCTTTCCTCTGAGCTAATTCGGAACGGAGCGCACACTGACACAAACCAATTAGGAATGGGGAAAGCCCAGAAGAGGTCAATGGGCCAGCTATTATCTAGCTGAGCTGAGAATATACCTGACAAGATCTGGGGCAAAATTTAGGTCAAGAGGAAAAAAGACCCTGAATCTCACATATCTGGGGGTCAACAGGGCCAGGTGGATGTGTTGAGGAAATCAATTTCTTCCTTATCCTCTAGCGGCCACTCAGGAAGTGATTAAACTGTGTTTGTGTGTTGCTTTTGTTCTACAGACAGAATTTGCACCATAGATGTGTCATACTAGCCTGCTGTAATGGTTGTGTGATAGGTAGGAGCTAAAGCTGGTCTGGTGTCTGGGGAAAACCCTATTGATGTGGAGATGTACCCCCCTACCTTAGAGGTAGACAGTGGAAACCAATTTGTGGGACACATGACCCGTCTGTGGTGGAACTGTATGACCTCGCTAACAATCAAGGGCAGACCCTCCTCTAATGTGAGCAGTCAGCTCTGATTCATTAACAGAGAAACTACAGAGATAAGTCAGAGGGGTGAACAATCTTTAGATGAGAAGTGTGACCTCTGGATGATGGAAGAAGACTGGAAGATACAGATTATATACATATACAAAATATATACTTTGAATATATACTTGTAGAGATATAGAATAGATAATTACATGTTGAAATTCTGATACCAAGATGAGATAAGACAGAAATGCTAAAGCTTGTAGCAAGAAAAAAAGGAGAGGGTCTGGCTTTATTTGTCAACCAGAGATGGTGTTCCAAGAGAGCTCAGTCATATCATGACAATACTTGTATATATCCCTCATGAGGCGACCGCTGAAGTTCCATGTGATGTTCCCCATAATACTGTTGCTAGGATATAGCAGTGGAAGTGGGTGTGTCCTCTGACTCTAACGTCAACATAACACCTTGATAGACCATAAAATCAGTAGTGGTGGATGGCTCCTCTCTCCTCACTGCAAGACGGAGGGATCCAGAAGATCTTTCGTACCAACAACCATCAGAGTTTTTCAATTCTTCTGTAAATAGTAGTATTATATTGTGTTGTATTGTATTGGATAAATAAATTTCACATGGACAGAAAAATACTGGTTAAATCTGTTGAAAGCTGAAGTTCTGGTTGGGCTTGGCTGTTAAACTGTGCAGCTCATGTGCCAGGCTATGGGACTCATTGCTGATTCAGCTCCTGACCATGTTTCTTCCTTTCTCCTCTCTTTCTTGCTTTCCTGTCTGTCTTTTCCTGTTTTATCTAGTTAAGGTGGAAAAGCCTCCATAAAAAACCCGAAATAATTTCAGTTGGAGTTCAAGTTACTTTTGCTGCCCCAGAGCTCAAAGTGGTATCTATTAGACACAAAGGTAGTGTATTTAGATGTAAATAACAAATTGCTATCTTAAAAGTCAGTATCATTCACTGTGAATCTTTGCCAAGAACAGTGTAAAAAGTATCACTCTCATCCGATGTTGTGTGTGGCCCTGCGCTACTGTATTCTCACCTGACACCCACCCAGCAACAGCCTTTGTGGGAATTGAAAATCAGTGTATGTTAATAATCAACCTTGTTGCTGGTGGTCTTTTTTTTTTTTGTTGTTGTTTACTTTTGTGGGCCACATTTATGTCATTGCTAGCTAAGAACTTCCCACAGGAGCTTTTTGCCCAGTCCTAGGCGTACTTGTGCTGTTAAATGAAGCACAAGAATATCGATAAACAAAAGTCTTAAACATTGTTGACATTAATCTTGATAGCAACAGGAATGTTTTGCAAATAAAATTATAATTCTAGGTTAGTGAGATGTATGCCTGTTTGAATCATGTGGATTAGCTTATTGTTTGCTAGCTTATCAATTCTTAGCCACATAGGACACTATAAACTACCTTGCATGAGTTTGTAGAGTTTTATGAACCCATGATGTAAAGTTGCCTTTTGCTGCTTTTAGAAAAAAACAGTCAAGTGGATTTTTCAGTCATAGTGGTGAGTGAAAGAAAGACTTTTACCCCTGCTTTAGTCTCCACCTTCTGTGGTTCAACATATCCAGCTTTAAAGGGTCTAAATATGCAACAATATTTATCTGCTAGTCACAGGGTACTTGGCAGTTCAGGTACGATGGACAGATGCCACTTTTTTGATGGTAAAAGCAAATTTCTGCTGATTAAAATTGCTGATAAGAGTTTTAAGTGAGCAAGAGAACTGTTAGTCAGTTAGAGGTGGTAGACGATAATCAACTTCAAGTGAAATTGTAAAACTGGGCAATCGTACCCAGTAAATTGTGAAACGATTTTCCTGTGAGCTCTTGTTTGTAATAAATGTTAATTGTATTAGCAAAACTATTACAGTTCAGTATGAAAGAGTGAAGAGTTTTGTTGTTGACTATCACAACCTACATTGTTTCCCTCTGAGATTTTCTTTAACTTGTATCATCAAAAGTTTGTATTTTTTTTAATTTCTGAAGTAATTTTACACTCGTATATGATTCAATTATCACAATTTATTACAAAAACTAGAACTTTTTTCATCTGTCATTTTTGCCATGCTTTAAGCATATAACAATACAGTATAAAATCTCAACCCAGAAGTAGGAAAGTAAAAGCAAAGATCAAAGATGCTGACGCAGCATTTACAGAAGTTAAGACATGCTGTTACTGTACAGAGAACATTCCCTTTGAAACATCTGCAAAATGCGTCATATTCATCAATGAATTGCATTTCACAACAGACGATCTGATCAAGCTTCGTTCAGAGTCTCTTTTTCAAAGTAATTTACAGGAAAATAAACACCAACACTCTGCAAATCAAAATGAATGTGCTGAGATTTTTTTTTCAACAGCCCAAGGCACTCAGGCTCCAATGTTGGCAATAAATACATCATTCTTTTACACAAAATCACATCAAGCGGGTGGTGGCTGGGAGAGAAGAGTGAGAGAGAAACTATGTCGTCTATCTTTTGGACGTCTTGAAGAACTCATTCCTTTTGAAGAAGTCCACCTTGGCCCACATTTCACAGTGAAAATCCCTGGCAATCGAGACAAAAAAAAAGGTGTTTGGAGTTGTTTTTCAACTTTGTGACATCTGGTTTGCTAAAATCTACATGACTTCCCCACTTGATTTCGGACTCCGACTTGTCTTTTTGGTCTCCTAGGGCGTCTTTTGCTCTCAGAAGCGACATCAGCTGCTTTTTCAGACCAAACCACGAGCAGCCTGAGAGCACCACAGGACACCATAGTGTCTGTTTCACGTGACCTTCACCCCCACATAAGAATCTGGTACAAATCTATCAAGTGTCAACAAATGACGATTTCAAATATCTATAACAAATCCAGAAAAATCCTGATCTCTCGTTGAGTTTACCAATGCTGAGACAAACAAGTGGCTTGAACATGTTAATGTTCTCTGGCTGAAGGTTCAGTTGAGCTGGCGACAAGCTTCAAATGTCCACTTGGAGGCTCCTCCGTAAATGTCGAGGCTCGTCTCCATCCAGGCAAAAACGTTCCCCACTTGTGCTTTGCTACTGCAAGTTGCTAGATTGTAAATCTCCCCCACAGATAGTTTACGGTCCCAGATGTGGAAGTTTGCAAGGTCTCCTACAAATGCTTGTGTGGCGTCGAACCCTCCTCCCAGCGTGTCCTGTGGTGGAGACAAATAGATTTAATCAAAGATGATATGATTATTGTCTTCTTCTCTGGCTGCTTTATGAACCTAAGAAAATGTCTCTCTGGATTTTGGGATTGGCTGACAGACACACATTTTAGTTGGCTGGGAAAAATCAAATTACCTTTTGAAACCCATTATGAGAATTTCAGTGCTGATGCTTGTGGAAATTGAAATCTAATATCATGTCATAATGTTAAAATGAAATGGCAAAATTACCTTTTTACCTTGTTAGCTCATTTTAGCCCCATGAATTCCACTTGTCATATTTATTAGCAAGACAATGAAAAATCTGAATTTATTTTCTGCCTCACCATGCTGTACTGGTGAATGAAGTTAGACACAATTTTGATCAAAGTTATATGTAAATCTCAGCTCAATATCTTATTGTCTGCTTCTCTCTTCACCCTACTATTTAACACCCAACTGGTCAAAGGCTGTAAATCTACGAGTCTGAGAGAGGTTTCAGATCATTAAAAGGTTTTTCTGACACTTTACTTTTTCGATGCACCTTTAAAGGGGAAATGTCCTGAAAATTTTGGATGGAGTTGCATTTATCAATTCAAATAATCTGTTGTTCTGTGGACTTTTACCTCAGGCCCCCACTTAAATTTCAGGAAGTAGTCAGAGTGAGCAGATGTATGAAAAAGATGTGGCAGGGAAATGTCAGAGACGTTCACAGTGGGCAACTCAGTAGGGTTAATCCATGCTATTAGTACAATCTTGAAGTAATGAAATTGCTCTGCACTCATTTTTGCACTAAAGCATGTACCTTACTCACATTTGTTCACACTATGAGTACACAAACTACAAGAAACATTGATAAAAAAAGAAATATAACTGTTTAATACAGGGTTGAACTTTACTTCACCCACCAACTTACAGTTGTTAGTCAACATTGCCATCAGATTTACCTAGCGTCCTTATTACTTAATGTCTTTCTAAGCAACAACCTCCTAAGAAAAGTGTTACTGAAGCACAAGTGAAATGCAATTCCTCGGGTGTCCAGAGGGTGGCTGCTTAAACACTAAAAGCCACATACACACCCATTCATCTGCTCAAACTGTACGGGGAGGAACCTTTTTACAACTAATGTGTTTTGTAGATGCTAAGGTTGCATTTTTTGGAATTACTTGGCTTATCTGACTGACAGACAGGAACACTGTAGTTGTTGGCAAGTAGGCTTAAAACCCACCCTAACTCTGCCTCTCTGCTTCTTACTAGGTCCAAAGTGAGCTAGGGTAAGCATTGTATAATATGGTGGCTGTCATTGGTTAGCTTCAAAACTACTTAAGAAACCAATGGATGGTGTCACTGACAGTACTTCTACTGTACGTTTCTGTTTTTCATTATTTCCCTTAATCTGACTGAAACTAAAGTTCGAGAAAAAACCCCCCAGAAAAGATAAAAAAGCTCATAACCCTGACTGAAATCTAAAGCCAGGTAACAGCAAAATCTCGGCAGACATTAGTAGGGCATGAAATAAAATTAAACTTTCTTGTCATACACAGACAAAAGAAAAGAAAAAAAAAAACAGTACAGAGCTGTAAAAGTGTCAGCGTTATCATCATTTAATGTACACCTGCTTAGCCTCTTGCAAACATGTTTGGTAAACTGGGAGATGACCCAATACCCAGTAGTGAGCGTGACATACCCCCTGTGTGTCACCACCTACTGTTGTACAGGCTTGTGCACTAGGACATGGAAATTCCTGTTAAATGACCTAATGACCATAGCTCGACCTAACTGAGCATGTAAATGTACTGTGAGACTACAATCCATTTAATCTATGGTCTTGCCTGCTGAGACCCTACCCCTCCTCTGTGCAACAGGAAAAACCCAGGCCGTAAGGGACATGTGTGAAAAAGCACCTTTGGAAAATCTCAGTCGAGGTTGTCACAAATTTTTCTCAAAATTTTAAGTAAGTACAGGAAGATAAATTTGGACAAAATTAGATTTTTCTTCACCATAAACAAACAAATAATTGATTCATTGATTATTGTTGAGTAAATTCAAATTACCTGCTCTTGACCAAGTATCAGCAGGCCCTGTGGTTTGATTGGGTGATAAGGAGCGAGATTCTCCCCGCTCCCCCTCCTGACTCCATCTTGGAAAGCTTCCCAAACACCATCCCTTGTGGTCCAGGTGACGCAGATGTGATGCCACTTTCCGTCATTGATGAGGAAAGGCAGCTTTGCAACCTAGAGAAAAGATTTTGAGTTCAAAATTTAGACAAAAGTCTCTCAAATCACAGCAGGTCAACATTTGAGCTCCTCCTTCCTACCTTATCATTTATGAGGATCTCCATTGGATTGTTCCCCCACTCTATGAGGACAAGTTCGTTGGCCTGACCCGGAACTGCGTATGAGAAAGGCGTGCCAACTCCAGGAGAGGCGTTAGATTTGAGCCACATGCACACGGTGAGGGCGTACATCTCCGGCAAACTCTTCTTCACTTTGGCGTACATGTAGTTTGTTCTCAGTGGGAACGTAAGCTGGAATTTATCCAGGGGCCTGCTCTCTCTTTGACCTGTGGCGAGGAAACAGAAAATTCTACATCAGCACCAGTGTTTCATTTTTAAAAAACAGATACTACTGCAAATATTCACACATCCTGGGGATTTACGATGGAATGATACCGTTACACAACAAATCCACACTCGTGACGCTCCAGATTTGCTCTAATCCCGCATAATAAATCTCCCCACTGGAGTGCTGCTGTTGTTAACCTTCACATCATGTATTCATTCTCCACCACACCTCTGTTCTACTACTATAGGACTTTTTTTAATGTATTGCATTAAAAGTGTCCCAAACTGTGAGCGCAGCGCGGTTTTTACATTACCAAATGGCTGCCATAGATAACACAGGGATTGGTGATTCTCTGCGTGTTTTAAGGTTTAATCTTAATGAATTAGAGCAGGAAACCAACAAATACCGGACTGCAGCGGCTTTGAGGGGATGAGTAAAACATTAAATCGACTGTTGAGGTCATAAAAGCTTATAATGCTGTTTTTTCCCCATATTTTGCGCACTCGCTGCGCAATCCTCCAAAGCCTCCCACAGCTTCCTTTTCTTTTCTCTCTTTTCGCTAAGTCCTCCTACATCCTATGAAGGTACCTTTCTCAAGGTCGGTGATCCTCTGGTGCAGAGACGTGAGCGTGGACTCCACTCTCCCACGCTGCTCCGTCTCGTTCCGGAGCCCGGGTTTTCCCTCTTCGATGCTGTTCACACGGGACAAAACCTGCTTCTCCAGGTCGTCGATTTTACTCTGGAGCAGGTCTTTCAGGCTGTTCGCCTGCACTGAGTTGTTGCTCCGGCTAAATTGCTGTCAAGGAGGAAAGAAATGTTGAACTCAAATTAAGATTTGTTTTTAATTAGATCGTTTTTTTTCTTTACAAAGCTTATGATATAACCTGCAGCTTCTTTCCTCGGGGCAAGTTTTATTTTAATCCACGTATGCCGATGCTTGTCATCATTTGTGCGCAAATGGTGACACATTTTGACTTTAAAGGACTAATCAGATAGAATCGGACTTTTTGTTGTCATGATTTAGTTTTGTTACTTGACTGTTAGAAAAGTGGTCTGTTTTTGGACGAAGCTTTATAATTATGCAGAGTCTTCTTAATTGTTCCAAAGGTCTTCAGCCTACCTCTAGATTTTCTAATCTCTGCTTCAGTGACTGTAAAGTCTGCGAGAGTTGCGTCAAAGTGTCCGCGGGGCCCCTCGATACATCTCCCATAGTGTTTTTGGTCCCTGCTTCTTTCCTCCGTCCCCCGGCCCGCGCGTCCCCGGGCTCCACGCCGCCGCTCTGGCTCTCGCACCGAGTCAACTTTGAAGTCAGTTCTCTGATGGTTTCCTTTTGGTTCATAATCGTCTCTTTTTGCTGCAAAACTGTCTCCCGCAACTGCATCACGGTGGTCTTCAGGTCCTCTCCTGGCACGCTGTTCTGCAAGGTGGCCGCACAAATGTCCATATCCTTTGGTACAGAGGTGCAGATGAACTGCGTCTGTGCACCAAACTCTTGGCAGGAACTTTCCAAAAAGAGGCAGGAAATTAGACAAAGTCTCCAGCAAATCCCCCTCTTTGTCGCCTGCATGTCTGCGTCTGTCTTGTGGGCTTTGTATAGGTTGTAAAACTGCAGCGAGTTCCCGCCCGTGTCCCCCGTGTTGTTGTTGTTGTACTCAGCCTTAGTAGAAGAGCGGCGCGTTTTTATACCGCGAGCCCGGTTCTGCGCAGAGCTGCTCCACTGCATCACGACGAGAGGAGGGGGTAAGAAGGGAACCGCGCTGTCCCTGTTTAATCGGCTCCGGAAAGCAGAGTCACATTCAAGAGATGAAACCCTTTTTTTGCTTTCAGGCTCCCACGTGATAAATCTTTAATCACTTGGACTATTTGTCATTTCTCGCTGTGTATTATTCATCTGGAAAATGCGCGTTTTGTAAAAGCAACGAATAGAGAAATGAGGGTTCTTTGTTTCGTGGCGGGGTTCCAGGAGAGCCAGCTGTGTTTATTTTCTTTTTGCGCGCGAAGAAAACACTTCCACACACTTCCACACACACACAAACACGACAGACGTTGATGCAGATTAGATGGCGCAGAAGTGTGTGGTCCCCGCAGATTCAGCACCAAGGACAGCTCCCAATACATTACATTATCGCAGTGTGTGTGTGTGTGTGTGTGTGTGTGTGTCTGTGCAACTACTTAGTTTTCCAGCATTTAGGTGTTACTCTTTCAGCTTTTGCTCCCCTGGGCTTCCTCCGATCACACATGCTTATTTCATGATGAGCTGTACATTGAATTTCAAAAGGCATAGATTAGTTTTCAGGTCGAACACAGACATGTTATTCCCTCTGAACCCACCTCTTCCAGTGGCAATCTGCTCCACACATCACCTCTGTAATCATCTCAATAATTCAGTCCCCAAAATGATCATCTGTCCCCAAGCACTTTACCTTTATCTATAATTCAGGAAAGACAATTTTATTATTTTTCTGTGCTGCCCACTCTGCTCTTATTTATTCAGTCCATGTTGGAAATAAAATGAAAACATTTTTTAATAAGTAATGAAAACATATTGGCACTTAGATCAAAATTGATTTCTTTGGGAGGACTGAGACTTGCAAGGAGAGGCAGAAAAAGCCCAAGCTAGAAGAGTCTGCATGTGACAAAAGGTTATTAGATGGAGGAGGTTAGACAGGTCATCTTATAATTACTATCATCTATAGTAGGTCACTGAGGCTAAATGGTTCATAGCTGCAGGAGGGGAGATATTAACACTGATTGACTGGCTAAATTGTTGTCAGAGGGAAAGATTTTATTAAAACAGTTCCTCCAGGATTTGAAGTCTTTATCTGCCCCAGTGCAAATTTAATTATTGAGCGCGAAAGTTGACCAAAGTGCTGTTCAATCAGATATTAAAAAGACAACAAGAGCACTATCAAAGTTCTGGAACAATTTAAAGACAATCAGACATCCAAACAGCAGCAGACCAATAAAAAAAATAAAAATCAGAGTGGCACAAACAGTTAGTCCCTTGCTTAGTTCAAAGATAAAACGAGTCCATTTTAGGAATTGGAAACACGGGTAGTTGGAAGACAATGGCTTGCATCCAAAACTTTCTGTTTTCATGGTATTATTTAGCAATGTTTGAAATGAAAGTAGCAAAAGTCTGTTTGCCTGGAGACAGTAAAAATTTCACACAGGAACTCAACTCACACTGTACAAGTCAATCATTGACAACACAAAACCAAAGCTAATGAGTTATGTTCTGTTACTGTCAGGTTTGATTGTTAAACATAACCAAAGTGTTCTGTCTGCAAGTGTTAAATCTGGAACCGCCAAAGTTTCCTTTTAAACTGCCACACAGAATTCAAGTCAGAGAAAACAACTTACAACTTATATTAAATGCAAAATACATTCACCATTCTGATGTGTCAACAAAAACTTAAAATGTTTAAGCTATGTAAAAAAATAGTGAAAAATTTGTGGTGTAACAAGTGACAACCTCTGGTTTTGAGTGCTTAAAAAGCTGCAGTTCCCTGAGTGCCTGCTTTAGGCTGGCTGCAGGAAAACACGGAACACTGAGCCAAAAGAACAAAAATGAACATGTTTACAGCCTGCTTCAAAAACCATTTTGGTCTGTATAGCTCAGTACTCCTACAGCGAAACAGAGGCACAGCTGACTTGACTGACAGGCAGGCATACTGCAGCCATTAGCAAGAAAGCTGAAGGCCCGCCTCTGGTAGGTTGAGCAAAAGTTAGGTTAAGTCACCTTCATTGATATGGCAAATGCTGCCATTCAAACTCCAACAGACAAACATAAATAACAGTATGGCATCTAACATAATTTATGTAACAGTTAAGGTTTGGTGAATACATTAGTGTGCTGGAGATGAGTGTGAGAAATCAATACATTATTTTTGAAATATCCCCTCCTTTGTTTTCTCACAAACCGCACACCACCGGTGGATGATAAAATCAGCAAAATGAAGTCAAGTTGTGATTACCACATATGGAACCTGAGGCAGAGTGAGACACAGAGGTAAGAGTTCATGCACAGGCTACAGTCAGCTTATGTAAGCACCTTGAAATATCAATAACTCAAAAAATCCACACCTGGGAACAGAAGTGAAAAAAAGTGCTTCTATTGTGAAAAAAAAACCCCTCACCAATTATGTTTACTTCTGCAGCAGTCAGTGAGAGCCCCTTTCTGTCCAAAATCTTAAGACTGGTCTGGTCTACATATAGATGCTAATATTTCCATAGCATTACCACTTCTTTTAGGGGCCGATGACCCCTACACAACCCCAAGTGTGACAATAGCTACTGCAAAGCATTTGATTACACCCTGTATTAGGGAGAGGGGATGATTGAGCATCAAAATGGTTTTGGAGGTTTAGGATTTTTCTGTTATAGCACATCTCTCAACAACGTCACCCATCTTCAAATCTGCATCATGTTCTTTGGCCACATAATAGTTATTTGCTTGTAAGAAGTCATTTTGAGATGTAGTATGGTCTCAAAGCTCATTAGGCAAAGCAGAAATAACATGTGACATAACATATTTTTACAAGCATCTACGTATTTGTTTCCTCTTGAACGTCTCCTTTGGATTAAAAGACATGAAAGGGGGTTTAGTGCCTTTATGCTCTGTCCATAATCCAAAGTGGATGGACTGCTTATGGACTGTATGAAAAGCAACAGCGAAGCTTGCAGGTGTGAGGGACAGCCTTTTCTTTTGAGCCTTTTAGTGCAGCATTACAGCCAAAAGAAGTGGATTTAGGGTGATGTAACACATGGACTTGTGTAATACTTGTTACAGGAGGGCTGCAGATGTCTAAGTTTTTATTTTTGGGAGAGGAAAGACAGACGTTACACACGGAATCCTGGGGAAGCTTTTAGAAAACACCAAACACTGAACGTGGAAGGCTGTGACACTGGCACAGAGTCATGGTTATGCTGTCAGCTACACATCCTTTGACAAAAAAAGAAGAAGAAAAATGATTAGATGTTATGCAACATTGCAATGCACTCTAGCCCTGTCAGAGCAACCTGACATTCAGAGCAAGAAATGTGAGTAACAAGTTTTTCCCCTCCATCATGGCAACCACATGGTGAATTTCCCTCAGCTATATAAATTAAAAAAAAAAAACAAGTGTTGGGGGGCTGCAGAGTGAAAGTGTGGTCCTTACAGTTAAAACCCCTTTAAGTACTTCAAGTGAAGCTTTCCATTCTGAAGGGGATACGTTTTTTTGTTTGTTTGTTTGTTTCTGTTCTGTTTGTATCTTCATTTTATATTTATGGCAACATAAATACAGTCAAAGCCTTAGAATAGTCTAAACTTCAGGTTCACAGTTTGAGCTTCAGGGACATAGTCTAAACCTTTGGAACACAGTCTAAGTTGTAGTCTAAACTTTAAGGGCTGAAGACAGAGTCTCAGGAACAGCATTGAAGCCCTGAGAAGGAGGTTTTGGTTCCAGGGCAACAGTGGACCCAATTCAAATGGTCGAAAGTGCAGACAAGGGTGAGTATCAAAATAAAACAGGAAAACAAAAGATGAGAAACATAAGAGGTGATATAAAACAACTACAGTAATCATATGATGTGAAAAAAACCAAAACACCCATGGGTGGACAGAGGGCGTTTAGCCTTAAAAGACTGGTCTAAGCCTCAGGATGGAGTCTAAGTCTAATGAATGCAGTCTTAGCCTATAGAACTCAGTCTAAGCCTCCTACATGTAGTCTCAGTCTTAGGAAAATGGTCCTAGCCTCAGGAAATAGCCTAACTTTTGGGACACAGACAAAGCCCCAGAAAAGCAGTCTAAGCCTCTGGAATGCAGTCTAAGCCCCACAAACACAGTCTGAGTCTCAGATATGGAGTTGTATCCTCGGGAACAAGGTCTAAGCTTTAAGAAGATGGCCTAAACTCTAGTGAATTCAATATAGGTCTCAGGACACGGTCTTAGCCTCAGAAATGCAGGAAGAGGATATAAGCTTCAGGAGAGTGGTCTAAACCGAGTTGATGATGTTTAATTCTGGGGAACACAGTCAAAGCCTAAGAATTTAGACTGCCCCTTACTAGACACAGTTTAGGTCTAGTGAGTGCCATCACAGCCCGAGGAATGCAGTCCAAGATTTACGAATCCAGTCTAAGCCCAAAGAACAAAGCCCAAGGTGGTTTTCACAGGACAGTCTGGGGTACTTTGGTTCGGGGTGATATAGCAACACTGCTATATCTGAACATGTCTTGGCCTCAAGAGCACCATCTGTAGGGATAACCTACAAACTGCAAATAGAAGGTTCTGGCCAGGTGAGGGGTTAAATAAGGTCAGAGAAAAATTACAACTTAACATACAGATAAGAGAGTTACAATTTATTAATATATGGACATTTAAAAAATGGAGGATTTGTTGGCCTGGGATTTTGGTGTCAGGGAGTGTACAGTTTTTTCTGAGTAGGAATGTCCTCTAAATTCAGCTTTGGCTCTATCAGGACAATAGTATATGTACAGATTAAAAAAGAAGGAAAATTCAATTGGGCCAAAAGGAAGATGTTTTATTGCGGCCTTTCAAATCCCTCTCTCAATTTTAACCCCATCATCGCTTTTTAAGAGGCTTGTTGAGCTGTAAACAAGGGGACAGCATGTGAAGGCACACAAAAACAAAGTCATTGCAAGATCACCAACTAGCTGCTGGCTGCACCGTATGTCCTATGAAGCTGGCTGTCACTTT